CTGATGCACATATGATTGATTATATACCACCTTAGTGCTGATGCACATATGATTGATTATATACCACCTTAGTGCTGATGCACATATGATTGATTATATACCACCTTTGTGCTGATGCGCACGTGATTGTAAGTGGTAAGCAGCAGATGTTAAACAACACTAATAATTTATCAGCATGCTGAAATAATTCTAGGTGTAGAATTAGAGGCTGAAATTCCCCTTGTGGGTTCTGGTACCCATTTTGGGGGAAAAAGAATAGACCCGCTGACAAGCATGTCATAAAAGGCAACAAACTAGGAGTGTTTCTTTTAAAGTCAGCGTGCATCTGTCTGAGAGGCGTGGAACCACAAGTAGTCTGCATACTGATAAGTCAGATTAGTAAAATGGAAAGCCAAGTTGGAACAGGACCAAAGTCCAGAAGTGGACTAACAACCATAACTTTCTACTGGAATTTACAGCCGGTAAACGATGTGATTACAAGAACTATTGGAACCATACCCATCGTTAAATTTATTGAGAAGCAAAGAATGAAATGGTTTGGTCACCTAATGAGAATGGAACCAACAATGCCAGCATCAAGAGCATACAACATGAAAATCGAAACACCAAGAGGCAGGGGAAGACCAAGAAGAAGATGGATTGAAGGAGTCACGGACAACTTGAGACTTCATAACATCACGGCATATGAAGTGACTGAGCGCGCCCTGGCTCGGTTGCCGATCATCTGATAGACTGCGACGCCTAGCGGCACAAGCTGATTGTGACAAAAGAAGAAGAAGAAATGCTGACTGGAAGAAGATGCTGATTAACCCACTGGTTGTTAGTAAGTATTTAGATGCCTGCATTAAAAGAGGATTCTTACAGATTTCCTTTTCTGTTACACTCACACTTCTATTTCTTTCTTGTTTCTCTTTGGAGGAGCACATCACATCTAATCATGCACCTTAGAGATAACAGCATCCAACTTACGCATCAAGTTGTTTAAAGTTTGCTTTTTCTAGACAGATTCTTTTCAATGTAAGCAGCTCCTTCTATATATGGGTAGGTTTTTCTTTCCCTGTTTTGCCAAAGCAGCCATCAAAGATGCAAACAGCGGGGAACGGAGAGTGAGAAGCAACAATGGAATTCATAATCTGTTTAAATCTCCATTGATAACTGGCAACATAAGAGCTTATAGACTGAAATGGTTGGGGCATATTGAGAGAATGTCAGATGACAGAGAAGTGAAAACACGAGGGAGATGAATGGTCATAGACCACGAGGCAGACCAAGAAGTTAATGGAGAGATAATGTACAGTCAGACCTGCAAACACTTGGTGTCGCTAACTAGAGAGATGAATGGAGGCAGGCAATATCTGCGGCAATGAACCTGAAGGGCTCAGAATGCTGAAGAAGAAGAAGTTTTGCCAAAGCAGCAGCCTTACTGCATTCTCTTGACGATTTCTATTTGCCATCAGAACTTTAACATGCACACTTTGCACATGGGATCTTCGGCTTTTATTTTTCACTTATTCAGAAAAGATACTTATCCAGTTTCATTTCCCAAGAGATCAGAGGCAGGCACTGTATAATTGGACACTAATGGCTCTTTGTTGTTATTGTCAGATCTTGGTCAGATATCCCTGAGCTCAGTATAGCAGTAGCCGGTACCACCTGTATTATGTTAACATAGAATTTTGGTGGGGTATACCAAACCTGACATCCCACATTGTGCCAGCGACTTCTCGTGGAGCAGTGCATTGGGGTGGAAATTGACTTTAACCTAGGAAGAGGAAACACAACCTGAACACTTTTTGTTATGGCAGGACAGATGTAGAAATATTATAATTGGCTGGCAGCTGGTCTAGGGTGGAAGCACTAGCAGGTGGACAGATAGAACACAACTGTTCTGATCAAGTAGCTTTTGCAGCATGGGTGTTTCTAAACTTATTGGTGTTACCTCATCCTGGACCTATATAACACTGTTATCTGGAAAGACAGAAAGGCACCAACAATATTGTTGGGATTTTAAACTGATATACCTTCTGAACCGAAGAAAAGCAGCCTAACCATAAAGCCACGCTTTCAGTTTTACTTATGTAATGTTTACTGAACTCCATTCATCAAGCTTATTGTTACTTGTATTATTTATTTTGTTTTATCTTGTATTTTTCATTTGTGGAATGACAGTTAAAAACTGCTTTTAAGATATGTGCATTATGACTAATTGAGGGTGGATTTGAACTCATTATCTTCTGGACACTAGGTAAGCATCTGGCTGTTGCACTACCAATGCTTTGAGTCAGTTTATGTACTTGACATATTGTGCTCATTTGCATTGTGAATGTGAATGCACTTGAATTAAGAGAGTAGTGGCCTGTGAAGTGTATTTGACTAACAGAAATGTTATCAGTGTCCCAAGAACCACTTGGTTCAAACTGAGAGCTCTTCTGAGTTTTGACACAGTTCACTTTCTTGATTAGATAAGGGAAATTCACTTCTAATGTTTATAAATTAATTTTTTTCTGTGTCATTCCGAATTAAGAGTGGCGGATGAAAAAATGTTTATATTAATTTATTTTGCAAGTTTGTGGTGGCATAGAGGCTAGATTCTTGTCTGCCGATTCAAAGGTCTGGGATTCATATCCACTCTGAGATGGATTTTTATAATTGACCTCGGCTTTCTGGGCAACTCAGCCTAAAATGGATACAGGAAAATAAAGTCTACCACTGTGATTTTAACCTGATCATGAATTGCATGCTTATTGATGTGTAAACATATGGGTCTATGTGTTGATGCATTAATACTGTGACAAGGGTCCTTTCCTAATTTAATTATTTGCTTTGGTCAGTGACAAAGAACAGTGGGAATTCTTCTTCTGAGTTCGACATCAGTCATGCTAAACATTGAGTCCCGTCTGGATCACAAATAGGATTGTGCGTTTAAGGTGGCCACCGGATCCCCCATTGCTTCTCTCGGGGACTGAAAATCCACATTTGAAAAGTTGCATGGTTAAGTTGAGATTCCATGTTTTTTTTTAAAACTACTAAAGGATGAGCAGAAACAGTACAAAGATAGGGTATATGTTGTTCATAAATAAAAGAAAAAAAGGTAAATTGTTTATGTATACAAACTGAAAAGAGGAAGGTCTTGGATGGCAAGCTGAAGTCGCAATTGGACATGTGTGCAGGCTCGATAAATTTAAGCGAGGAGAGGAGTGGGTTAGACTGGTGTAGGGTTCTTATCACTTTGAATTGTGAGTGCTGGGACTGGCCAGCTGATGCTGCAGAATCAGAGCTTCATGACAATTTCCAGGCAGAATAGCTAGTTCTGCATCACTTGATGGTGAACTGATGCATGGCAAGTTGGATGTTGGATCTTTTGTAGCGGTTGAACAGTGAGGAGGTAGCAATAGATCATTAAGGTCTGGGAAGAGTGGCGCTGCGAGGAGTTACAAGGGGATCTGCCAGCGCTCAACACTCAGGGGAAAGGCGAGACAGATATACAATCACACAGTTCCTGGTGCCATCGAAATTGGAACTCTTCACTTGCTGCTGAAGATGGGGATGGAGCGCTTATGGGGGTTTCCTGAGTGCTGTGATGTCGATTGTTAATTCAACATTTAAATTGCTGCATAAATATGAGATACTAGTTAGGAGCAGCACAGGAAGACAAAAGAAAGATTTTACCATCTGTCAGCTTAACACTTTCGCCCGGTAACGCTAAAAAACCAAAACAGGCCTGACCCATTGGAATTCCATTAAACAAATCCTAGAATAAACAGCAGCTTTGTGCAGGTTGCTAATAAATTTATAAAAAAAATGGTTAATTGCCCAATGTGCAGGGACTGCGATTGTGATAACATAACATCAAAAATGTATTTCCCTCATTTTATAATTTTTTTGTTTGGAAATTTATAAAATATGAATGGGGTAATCGATAAACATGAACAGGGAGAAACATTAAAAGGAATGCATTCACTGTGGCCTGAAGAACATGACACATTACCTCCTGAATGTTTGCACAGTCATACACACACCCAATAGGATCAACTATGCATCTCATAAACAGGTCACTATAAGCAAGTCGGAAAAATGATATAATATTGGGAATTGGGCCCAGCTGGAAGTGATAATAATGTGGACAAGATGAATTTAATTAAAATATGTGACAAAGACGACGGAAAACTCGTGACAGAATCCGTTTCAGACAAGGACGCAAGAAGAATTTGAAGAAAAAGACTATGAAAAAAAACCGAAGACATGTCAATGTAAGTATAAACATACTTGTTAGTTGCAGAGATATAGATATAAAGAGCAGGTGAATGTAAAACAATATTTTAATATGTTCCTGATGAGCTCTTAATATGTTATGTCACATAAGGCCTGCAGTTGACTTCTTCATTTCATTTTATACTGTCAGTCCTTTCGATATCATGAATGAAAGGTCCGGTAACTCTCATATATGTTCGTTACAGAGTTTCATTTAGACATCGTCACTTTCTCAGTGCATTTTTTTCCCATTTCAGTACTTGTTTGGTCATTGTTTGTTTTATTTTCTTAGAATATGCCAGAAATATTTCCATCTTTTTATTATAAGTATTGATAACAGCAGTTGTATGGAATTTCTAGTTCTTTTTCTTGTCTTGAATTAATCCAAAATAATGTTTGCATATCTTGATGGTATTTTAACTCTTTTAGTTTAAAAAATAACACTGCAAATGATGTTTTCTTCATGATTCTATTTTATTGCATAAAGTGATCTTTAATTCTTTTTGATTTAGTCAGATTCTGAATAAATCTGGCTTCATGAGTGTCCAGTTTGACTGCGTATGCAAATTTTTTTTAAAAATGATGTACTCATAATTTATTTTAAAGTGGTTTTTCTGGACTTGGGCATCTGCTGCAACAATTTTTTTTTTTAGAATGAAAATCTTAAATTATGCTTGTTCTACTGAAAACAACATCACCAGTTGAAATGAAACATTTTTTTTATACACAGTTAGCATCGAGAGGTCACGATGAGTTTGACCTCCGATCTACTGGAGCTGAGTCAGCACCTGCAGCAGGAACATTTGTTTGTGACGACAGAACGAGAACAACTGCAGAGACTGTATCACAATGTGACCATCTTGTCGGAGAAGTTATTTCACACTGCTTGGATAGCACGCCAGCAGAAGCAGAACCTTCAGTACTTCATTGATCAAGGGAATAATGCAGGAGAAAATGTTGAGGTAACAATAGTTTATTTCTTTATCTTTCTTCAATTCTTCTTCTTTTCCACCTGCTGCTCTTCTTCATCTTCATCATCATGAAGCATAACATTTCAACCTTTCCACAGACTTTCATGAAGCCTGTAGACTTTTTCATGAAGGGATGGATTTTGTAGCTGTAGTTTTCTGTGAAAAGGGATGGTTGGTCTCATGGCAACCCATCTTAGTTGCCTTTTACACCTTGCATTGCCAGTTGCAGTGTTTTCATTCTTTGATTATTTTATAGTCCCAGTCACATGCAGGAGTAGGCTATCTCTGTGTGTCTTAACTCTTTTGCCACCAACATTGCATCAACCATTCCTTAGTTACTCCAGTGATAATATACTATTTTTTCTCTCTCTGTGGATTCATCAAAATTCGTCCTTTTTAGGACGAAATTTTTTGTCATTTGAAGCCCTACTCTGGCTTTTGCCAGGGGCCGCAATATAGGCAGGCCATACATATGGCCAAATGTCTGAACGCGGTTTCTGGGATCTCTCCACGGCGATCCTCATCCGCATGGTGGCACTTTGTGTCATCGGGTGTTTATCGCTTGTGTGATGTCCTGGTGGGGTAGAAAGTCCGTTCCGTCCTCTCTCTGTGTACATTACAGCAAGTTACATTAACCCCCTCCAGCCGAAATGTTTGTTAAACTATTTTTGTCTCATAATGTCTCTTTGTTAACTCTGTTAGGCTCATACATTTAATGGTTTCAAGTTCAGCTTCTTGGGATTGAATGAGTTAAAGGCAGTAACTGCCTGGAGCAGAAAGAGTTAATAGTTGCCCTCTGAAATTTATCAGAAATATGTGACTAATGGGAGGGATATATGATGCATTCATAAAATTTGTAGCAAAGTTGTCATTTTAACTATACAAGACTTAAGTAACGAATGATGCTATCATACAGATTATGAGAACAATGTATTGTGTCAGATTTTAATGACAAACAGAATGAAATGGGTTTGCTATCTCGTTAAGAGTGTAGCAACATTACTTACCAAAACTAAGATCTAAGTTGATCTGATCTGAGAGTAAGAGGGTGTCAAGAAGAAGTTAGATTGGCAGTTAGAGAGACATTGTTAATTTGCAGAGTGACACTAACCACCACCACACACTGAATATTGGACCACTAGCTATCCCATCCCTATGATGCTTAACCTTTTCACCCCTGAACCCTTGGTTTAATGGCAGAAGAGGAAGGTGATAATGGTAAAGGTAAAGTCGGGAGATGTGAACCAGCGTCATTGCACACAGTTATAAACCATAAGTGCTCTGCCACCAGTACGGACAGCTGATAAAAATTGTCCACCTATGTCGCCGTTCGCATGAACCCCGGAGCCGCCTGGTTTCGAACACCGACCGTGGGTTGCAGCAAGTCGCAGCTGGATTTGAAAGTGAGCTTCTTATCGACTGCGCTAACGCGGCCCTGTGATAATGATAAAAGATGCCTGTAACCATTAAAATGAAATATTTCAACATAGATTTTCTTATCCAAGTAATTTCTTCTTGGTTAAAGTGGGTCGATTGAAGGCTCTAGATATTTACATATCATCAGAAAATAAGTCATTACCTCCGGCCTGTTCTGAATTAACCAGATTTGAGAGGGGGAGACAGAAAGTATTAAAAGTAGTGTTTCAATGGGCAGGCAGAAAAATATAATATGTGCTGTAAAGAACCCACTTGTGCACCATGAGATGTGGTGGATATATGGTACCAATGCCATATTGTTAGACTAGTGAATTGGTTATATAGCCAGTATCACGCTGGTCACTGTTGTCTCTCTTCTACTTGTTATCATCCAGTGGAGCATAGGCCCTCAACCAAGCCATCCTATCCTTTGATACTGCATGTGCTCCTCATCTTTTTAACTCCACTCTTTAGGTCACCTTATATTAATATGAGTCTAGCATCATATGCCTGATGCACTAATGGCATGCGACTGATGAAGATGGGGATGGAGCGCTTATGGGAGTGTCCCAAGAGCTATGATGTCCATTCAACATACCACTGGCTTGAAAAGAGTCCTTTACTTACTTACTTGTCCCCTTCTGGCCCCTGTTACTTCCCCTGAAATGTTTTGGTATCTATTTTATCTGGGTTGATCCAGAAACCCAAGTCAGTGAAGAAATAAGCTATCTTGGGTGTGGCGGGGCGGGGGGGGGGGGGGGGGGATTTGACTACAGGGCTGCCAGGATTACAGGCAAATGTGCCAGCCACTGCCTCACTAGAGCTCTCTACGGACAAGAAAACATGCAGATAGAGATGAGGTTGTGGGGATTGCATCATGTGCACTTTCCTACCCAAGTGTCGATTATACCATGAGCTTATCTTCCTGCTGGCCGGCCCCTGTCCCTCTTTCCTGGTGCCATGCCTTCTGCTGTTATTTTTTCCAATCGACCGTGGTGCTGCTTAGTATGGCCAAAATATTTTAGTTTATGAGACAGGATGCTGTTTATTAGCCAATCTTCTTTGATGTTCAGATCTTGTAGAATGTCAGTATTTGTTATCTTCTTTGTCCATGGTATTCTGAGAATCTTTCTGTAGCATTTCAGCTCCAAAGCCCCTATTCTCTTCTTTGTCCATAGTATTCTGAGAATCTATAACATTTCAGCTCCAAAGCCCCTATTCTCTTCTTTGTCCATAGTATTCTGAGAATCTATAACATTTCAGCTCAAAAGCCCCTATTCTCTTCTTTGTCCATGGTATTCTGAGAATCTATAACATTTCAGCTCAAAAGCCCCTATTCTCTTCTTTGTCCATGGTATTCTGAGAATCTATAACATTTCAGCTCCAAAGCCCCTATTCTCTTCTTTGATGACTGAGATAAGTCCATGACTCACATCTGTATGTTGCTACAGGGAAGATGCATGCTCTAAACATTTTGACATTGATTTCATTGCTGATGCTTAACTAAAGATTTTAATGCTGTTTAATCCTTTGCATTGCAATGACTTGTGTTGAACAGTCTCAGTTGTTGTTTATTATAAAGCCTATAAATTCAAAGGTTGACATTTTCAGTGACTTCACCATTTATTGTTATTTTTAAGTGACAGTTCAGTTTGTAGACATTATATATGCTTTCTTTAGATTAAAGAGCAGGATATAGATATAGACACAGGATACACATTTATTCATACAGCATATATAATAATAGACACTGAACAACAGAGTAAGTAACAGTCACCAGCCTAGAAACATTACATTTCACTGTTTGCTAGAGTGGTCTTTTTGGCTCCCTAGAAGTGGTCTTTGATAACTGGCAGCTGTATATCTAATCACCGAGCCTTTGGTGCTATAAATATTCATAAAGTTCACCATCTCCTGAGAGAGGGGAACCCTTTGTGGGCATCCCCTAAGGTTTGTTTCTTCAGTATTGGATGGCGTGTACTTTCTGAGTGGGTTCTTGGGCACCATTTTGGAGGGAAGGGAAAAAAACCCACTGCTCTGAACAAGCCTGTCTTAGAGGGTGGGGAAGGAAATATTGGCTGAAATCAGATGTGCTGGGCTGATAGGTGCACTTATAAAAGCTTAGCTGTAAACCACAACATAATGTGCCTTTGTAAGGGAAAACACAGAAGTAGAAGAAGGATGCCATGCTCTGATAAGGGTTTCTGTTTATTCCTTAACAAAGCCATTACATTCATACCAAACTTCGATTTGATAAATGATTTTTTTTATATGAGCTTCTCTTTATTATTGAAAACTGAATTTGTTTTTTACAATTTCAGGTTTATAGCACCAACAACCAACTGGAGGAATCACATTTTGTGGACTCCTACAAAGTTTTCAGCTATCATGACTCAAAATACGGAGATCTGCTCAGATTTCTGTACGAAAACCCCCACCTTGTGGCCAACATAATATATGTGGCCGAAAAAATTGGTGGGCTGAATGTACAGCGTATGATTGGCCTCATCGTGACCTCCATATACGGGAACTGTATCTTTCAAGAAGACGAGAAAGTAGTACTACTACTGCTGAAAACCCTGTTGGTCTGTCAGCTAGCCGACAGTGAAAACCCTCGCAGACTCATTCGCCGGCAGAATTTGTCGTTCTCCCTTGTATATAAACATCTGTGTGAGACTCTCTTCTCCGCCAGGCTGTTTCTCACAGCAGCCCTATATGAACCAATCATGAGGCTTCTAATGGAGGATGAGTGGTTCTTTGACATTGATCCAGACAAGGCGCTCGTGAGGTTCCCGCCAGCAGAAAAGCTCCGAAGGTTTGGAGAACCTGGTACTGAGGAGTACAGTATAAAGCAAGCCCAGTACCGCTGCTTCATTGTGGATAAGTTAGTCATGCTGGCAATCAAGTTTATAAACAGTATCAAGGCAAATATGCATTGTTTTCCTGCAAGCCTCGGCTGGCTGGTCTCACAGGTAAGTTTTTCATGTTGGGATCATTTTGTTTGTCATAGTTGTATTCTTCTTCTTCGCGTTCACCGTCTGTAAACTCTGGCGGAAAGTTCTGGTTGTTCATCCACTTTTGGACTGCAGTCCTGTTCCAGAACCTGAGGGTTGCATGTGCATCCGTTTTACAGATCTGACTCATTAGTATGCAGACTGCTGGTTCCTTGCCTCTCGGGCAGATGCACTCTGACTTCAATGGAAGCGCCCAATTAATTAACTCTTATGACATGCTTTTGGGTAGGCAGTGGGTCTGTTCTTGTTTTCCCTTTAATAGGGCCCCGGAACCCACACGAGGAACAGTTGTAATAATTTTTTCTCGTTTGTCCCAATTCTAATAGTTCAGTCTGTTGTTTGGATAAGTTTTAATAATTTTGATGGAGGAAGGAGGGGGGGGGGGGGGGGGGGGGGGGGGGGTTGGTCCTAATCATATTAATTTGTTTGTTTGTTTGTTCCAAATATGATAATTAGTTTTATATTTTTGGTTACATTTTGTTGTAATCTCAAATAATGCGTCTGGTTAAGTATCTTCTTGTTTATGCTGTAAGGTTAACGATATGTTCTTGTATGTCTGGTTCATGATGGCTTGGAATGCAGCTGCTTGCAGTTTGTCAGATGTTATGATTAAAATGTCATCCACTTGTGTTGATTTAACTCTCTAGTAATGCACCTAATGGGATACAGCAAGATATGCCAGGCGGTGTATTGTTTGTGTCTTCACTATTTACATTTGTAATAATTTGTTTTGCTGTTTTTCCAGTTGTAACAGTTGATTTTGTCACCGACCTTAGTGGAAAGAAAACATAATAATACAACAAAAAAGCATAGGAGAAAAGCCCCATCTGACAAATGAAAGGAGTTAGTAATTTGCCATGAACAAATGAAGGGAAGCAGTAATTTGCCATGAACAAATGAAGGGAGGCGGTAATTTGCCAAGAACAAATGAAGGGAGGCAGTAATTTGCCATGAACAAATGAAGGGAGGCGGTAATTTGCCAAGAACAAATGAAGGGAGGCAGTAATTTGCCATGAACAAATGAAGGGAGGCAGTAATTTGCCATGAACAAATGAAAGGAGGTAGTAATTTGCCATGAACAAATGAAGGGAGGCAGTAATTTGCCATGAACAAATGAAAGGAGGTAGTAATTTGCCATGAACAAATGAAGGGAGGCAGTAATTTGCCGAGAACAAATGAAAGGAGGCAGTAATTTGCCATGAACAAATGAAAGGAGGTAGTAATTTGCCATGAACAAATGAAGGGAGGCAGTAATTTGCCAAGAACAAATGAAGGGAGGCAGTAATTTGCCATGAACAAATGAAAGGAGGTAGTAATTTGCCATGAACAAATGAAGGGAGGCAGTAATTTGCCATAAACAAATGAAAGGAGGTAGTAATTTGCCATGAACAAATGAAGGGAGGCAGTAATGTGCCAAGAACAAATGAAGGGAGGCAGTAATTTGCCATGAACAATAAAAGGGAGGCAGTAATTCGCCAAGAACAAATGAAGGGAGGCAGTAATTTGCCATGAACAAATGAAGGGAGGCAGTAATTCGCCAAGAACAAATGAAGGGAGGCAGTAATTTGCCATGAACAAATGAAGGGAGGCAGTAATTTGGCAAGAACAAATGAAGGGAAGCAGTAATTTGCCAAGAACAAATGAATGAAGGCAGTAATCTGCCAAGAACAAATGAAATAACCAGGGCCCCCCCCCCCCCATTAAAGGGTTGGGTTTTTTTTTTTTTTTACTTACAATTACCATTGGTTTCAAAATAGCTGTGTCATTGCAGTGGCTAGCACCCTTGTTTGTTGGCCCAGTGGGGACATCTTACACAGGTTTAGAAAGCATTGTAGACAAAGATGCTGGAAGTGATTAAAGGTTACAGGATCCGCTTCACTGCATTGATTTGATCCCAAATGGCTCGGCCTCTCTACACAAAATGGTTAGCCGCCTGCTGGGATGTCACACAATGACTTTTTTTCGTGGCTTTAGTGACACTTCCCAGGGATCTACTTAAAAATTTCACATGTAAACATAATGTCACGGCAGTGAAATGAACACACGGCCTTTGAAGCTCAAGACAAACAGCTTGACTTCTTTACCACAAGACCCCTGGTAGAACAAATGAAGGTACTAGAAACAAATGGATGAGAAAATTAGAGATAGCGATCGATGTGTAGAGGGCTTCAAAAGAGCTGCAGGATATGACAGAAGACAGATAACTTAGGCTGAGTTGGTTGAGAGTCTTTGTTCCATTATGGGGTGGCAGAAGAAAATGATGAAGACCAAACACTCACAGTACATCAAACGTTTTTTTGGTTCTTAATCAGTCATTTCTAATTGTGTCAAGACTGTTCTCATGGCTTTCAGTCAGTGGTACAAAGGTCACAGGAAATGATTGGGGCTTCACCACATAATATTGTCAAGATGGATAACCACAGTCTGGTGAAATTGATGCAGGGGGGAGTGACGAGAGGTTCTGGCAGATGCTCGAGGCTCAGAGGAAAGGCAAGACGGGCGCTTAATCAGAATGCTACTGGTAACATTAGTATCGGAAGTCTTTGCTGGCTGCTGAAGATAGGGACGTAGCACTAATGGGAATGCCCCGAGTGCTGTGGTGTCAGTTCTTGAATCAGATAAAATCATGTTGTCAAAGACAGTGTATCCACTAAAGCCAACTACAGTTTATGAACTGTGGTTACTGGCTGTAACTACCACTTGTGTAAGGGCAGTGTAAGACAAGAGTGCCTGTAGTCTAAGGATTGATGGCTGTGTGGCTAGTACAGTCACCACGAACTTTGATAAGGATTTTTATTTAAGCCCTCAACATCCCCTTACTTAGGATTTGAACCCAGGTCTCCTGTGTGAGAGCTCCAAATTGTAACCACTCATTCCACCTACTGCTCTCAGTGTTCCTGCAGTTCAAAAATTAAAATAAAATAAAAAATTTATATTACTACATCTTACTGATCTCTGAATAGTTAGCTTTCTTGGATAAGAATGAGAAATAGAGGGTTCCATGTATTCTTAGCACTCACCAGCTGTAAACTCCAGCAGAAAGTTCTGGTTGTTCTTCCACTTCTGGACTTTGGCCTTGCTCCAGAACTTGAGTTTTGTGTGCACATCTGTTTTACTGACATGGCTTAGTTGATGCAGACTGTTGGTTCCTCACCTCTCAGGCAGACACACTCCGACTTTGAAGGAAAACCCCTAGTTAGTCTCATGTGTTTGGTATGCACATATCATTGTTGCAACATCTTATCTACAGGTCTACAGGGTTTTAACTGAGCGAGGGAAGGTCAGTATGCAGGAGATCAGAGTGTGTTGTGCCGATCTGGTGTTTGCCTTGTTTATCTGCCCCGCCATCTGTGATCCAGAACCTCATGGAATAACTTCAGATGTTCCAATTAGCCATATAGCCCGCCACAATCTCATGCAGGTAATACACACGATGTTATATGTGTTTCAGGTTTGCATCTTGTCGGGGTCTATGACTTATGGTTTTCAATGCTGTTTTATCATCTCGTCATACTGGGTTTGATTCAGCTGCGGGGGACTTGACAGCAAGTGCTGGATTTAGGTATAAGCCTAATAAGACACAGCTTAGAACCTCACAATCTACAGGGGCCTCTAAAATGCATTCTCACCCCCCCCCCCCCCCCCCCATGAAATTTTCTTTTAATAGATTTTAAAATGCAATAAAAAAAAATTACATTATTTCAACATCTTTGAAGATATATCACTATCTTAGTGCCTTCTAAATCCTTCATGTTGAGACTGATCACCACTTAAGTGGCTCTAGGTTTGGACAAATCTAATATTGTCTCATTTGCTAGGAAAATGAATTTGTATGAACATTTTTAATTTCCTTTTTTGAAGCTTGGCATGTTGATTGGATTACTTTTTGATTAGTCTTAAGTTAAATAAGTCTGATACAATATTTTTGAGATTTTCCTGACCAAATGGTGAAAGAAAATCTTGAACTGTCTTTGATCAATATAAGCCAGATAGTGACTATTGGAAGCTGTGGAGATGTGGTTTAACAGACGAATGATGAGAAAATCCTGGACAGATAAAAAGAGTAATGAAGATGTTGAAAGAAAATCTCACAATGAGAACTGATTATGCACACCAGAAAGAGACAATCTGCATTCTTTGGTCATGTGATGAGGAGAAAACTGGAGTACATCATGACAGTAGGAAAGTTGGAGGGGAGGAGAGGGAGAGCAAGAGAAAAGATGCTGGACAGTTTGACATCATAGCATGGAGGATCATCTGTGTCAGAGCTGGTTGAAAGTACGCGAGACAGAAGGTTGTGGGTAGACAGGACTAACAATACCACACAGCATGGACTTTAAGAAGTGACAATAGTTTTGACATGAATAACAATGCAAGTGGAACACCTACTGCCGACAATATGCGTTGGGATGAAGTTGAACAAAATAGTTCAGTTGGATTGTCCCTGTTTCGATCAGCTGTGTCTGGAATTCCTTTGTTGTGAAATTTGATATTTGACATAAACAGAAATGGTCATAAGATCCGAAGTATTTAGATTAATTGGTCAATCTAAAGACTACCTGATCCATAATTGAATACACACGGATATCAGTGTTGTTGATTAAGTAAAAAAAAAAAGTAAAGTAAGCACAACATTTCCCATATAAAAAAATCTTCCTGTGTGTATCACCTCCTTGAATGTGGTGTCATTTTAATGTGTTCTTATTTGCACACTGATGCTCATATAGTTTAAATATGTTCTGTATTCATTTCTCTTTAATTTGATAAATTCTAAGTCAAAACACAGTCAATAATCTTTCTTCCAGGAAGGTTTTAGCGTTGTCATGTTGCAATAAACAAAAATAATTTCAAATTTAATCCCGAAAAGAGTTAAGTTTTAACGTAGAGCCTTTTTAAGGATTATATAATATAGTTTTTGTGATTCTGCAAACATGTTCTTGATTTATTTCTTTTAATAAAAATCAAACAACAGTGTATTTTCATTATCCATATATTTAAAAGCCACATATATTTTTATATTTTAAAGTTTTATGAGATTAGATCTTTTTGGTAGCACACCTGTTTCTGTTGATTTCGACAGTGGTGTAACTGTCAATTGGTTCAGAAGACAATGGCAAACTACTGAATATAAATCGTATAGTTATGCCACAAAAGCCAACAAATGCTGATGTCCTTGAAAGGATTTGTGCTGTCTTTTTTTTAACCCTTTCGCTGCTACATTCCCGGAAAAAGTTGTCTGCCCTGTGCTAAGCAATGTGAAAAAAAAAAAGTCTCTGCTGTGCGCAATACTTTTCTATCCTCCAAACGCAAACAATGCGTCGGTGGTGAGGGCTATAATTTGTACACCTAAAAAATTTTACCCTGGGGAGTTGTGTGGTTGGTCCGAGTGGTGACAAGTCAGAGGCACGATGGTGCCCCACAAACTTGACTAACGGAGCTATCACCTTTCTGGGGGGGGGGGGGAATAATGGGAAGAACTGTTCCCAGTCCGTATCCCAAAATTTGATTGACGAACCTACCACGACTGCCACTTTAATCATAGTTATTTGTAGTCACCATGTTATTACATACAAAAATAATTTTAAAAAATATTAATAATAATACTTGAGTCGTCCGTTGCTGAAAAGTAGCAGGAACTGAAAGGAAAATTTACAATTAATAAAATAAAAAATAAAAAAAAAAGAATTCGGGGGTTGAACACACGACCCTCCGATTCTAAGGCGAACGTGATACCAACTACACTGTGCTACCGCTTGACGAATTGCGCTGTGTGAATGATGATAATGAATGATGTGCGCAGACTATCAATAACGTGTCTAAGCTTGTAGTCTATCGCCGCCTGCATGAGCACTGTTGTCTGAGAAATGTTTGAGATTCTCAACAATAGTAAAAATATGTCCCTCGACATTATTTTACGGGAGTTTTTAGCAAACAGTCTTTGCTCAAGTACTCTATTTTGAGTTTCTTTGTTCTAAGCATTAGCAGACAGAAAAAAAAAAAAGAAGTTCGTCCGAATCTGTGTCTGTCCATCGGGATAGACGTGAATTTTTAGTGACTTGACTGTTTGAATTTACAGTAGCAGAAATACAGATAGAGCTGGAGTCATCAAAATTATGCACTACTGGTTTCAAATCATCGGTTCATCAAGATAACTGATCAATTTATTGCCGTTTTGATGGCGCTTCATTGTCGCTGCTCTCTGATTCCGACAATGAGGACGTCAGACAGGCAAACAGCTTTTTTTGGACACGCCGGTTTCAGCAGTCGATACTGATGGCCTAGTCAAATCTTCTTGTTCACTGTCAGAAGTACACATTTCAAAGTCATCTTCTCTATCACTTCTTGACAGAAACTCCATCAATTCTTCATCAACTTTAACAAGTTTTCTTGCCATTTTGTACTAAGTGTAGAATAATCCAAAAGCACAAATATCTATCAGGGCACAAAATACACAGATCACCGACCACGCTGTCACGGTAAACAAAGCAACGGGATAACGCAGAATGCAGTAAACACACCTTAAACACACCTAAAAGCACGTGCTAGTGCTTTTAATCATATGTAAATGGGTCAGTTTAATCTAAATATAGCTAATGTATATTGCCTTTTAGCCAATAAAATACGAGGTAACAGAAATCTGTAAGAAAAGTCCAAAAACGGCTTGGGACGTCCATAGCACTGGGGGTCAAGAAAAAAAATAACCTCCAAAGACGGGCGTAGCAGCGTACGGAAAATCGGGAAAAGACGTCCATAGCAGCGAAAGGGTTAATTTGTTTATGTTCAGTTTAATTTGCTGTGATTTTCTTATTTTGTTTACCATTCATTAGCTCAGTTTAAAATATTGAATGAATGTAGTTGTAGTCTTTTATTCAGTTTCTATTTGTTTTGTTGATTGTAATATTCTTCTTCAGTATATTTTATAATTTTAACTAATAATGTTTCTCGATTTCATATCTTGTCTTTCACCCTGTCTTTCACTCTCCTTTATCCATTCACAAACTCACTCTTGTGCTGTTTACTCTCTTATACACTCTTTTGCTCTTTCATTTTTGTTCACTCTTTCGCTCTCTTGCTCATTCATACTCATTCACCTTCTCTCTCCTATTTTTTTTCTCTCCCATTCACTTTTCCTCGCTCTTTCACACTCTCCACCCTGGGGAAAAGGTGTTGGGGGGGGGGGGGGGGGGGTATGAGAGAACATGGCTATAAAGCCAGTAAGATTGGATACATTCATTTGTGAATAAACAATAAAATGTTTACACCCGTTTCCTTCCAGATGGCTCAAATTATTCAAGTTTTGGCTATCTCTCAGTTTGAAGAGATTGATCCCAAAGTCAGAGATCTCTACAGTCGTTTTGAAAAGGTAACTGTTTGTTCACATAAGCATGTAGTCCACTTCTCTATGATTATAAGTTTCTATGAGGGTTGCCACGGTGGAGCAGTAAAGCAATTTGCCCTGCTTTGAAGGTCATCAGTTTAGCTTTTGGATTCATGTCCTTCTGTTTTAAAAGATTCGAGGTATTCCTGAAGCCATCAGTGAAGCTGTAGTTTGATGCTTCGTGCGATGCTCACAGGAGGCAAGCAGACATTCTGCAGAAAGACTGTCATATGAGAGAAAGGGAAGTTCAACACCCTTTCAATAGATTCCTGTTGGCAGTACAACACAATTGACACTCCACTGTGCACATTCTTTCCTGCGTATAATCTGCTACTTGTAGAAACCTGTGGTTGTGTACCTAAGGTAGCTGTGGTTGTGTACATAAGGTAGCTGTGGTTGTGTACATAAGGTAGCTGTGGTTGTGTACATAAGGTAGCTGTGGTTGTGTACATAAGGTAGCTGTGGTTGTGTACATAAGGTAGCTGTGGTTGTGTACATAGGGTAGCTGTGGTTGTGTACATGGGGTAGCTGTGGTTGTGTACATAGGGTAGCTGTGGTTGTGTACATAAGGTAGCTGTGGTTGTGTACATAAGGTAGCTGTGGTTGTGTACATGGGGTAGCTGTGGTTGTGTACATAGGGTAGCTGTGGTTGTGTACATAAGGTAGCTGTGGTTGTGTACATAAGGTAGCTGTGGTTGTGTACATAAGGTAGCTGTGGTTGTGTACATGGGGTAGCTGTGGTTGTGTACATGGGGTAGCTGTGGTTGTGTACATAGGGTAGCTGTGGTTGTGTACATAAGGTAGCTGTGGTTGTGTACATAAGGTAGCTGTGGTTGTGTACATAAGGTAGCTGTGGTTGTGTACATGGGGTAGCTGTGACAAAATGGATAGCTCACTGACTTGCCAACACAGGATATTGAGTTTAGTCCATACCTATGGATCGCCGCTGATCGGAAGGTCGTGGGTTCGCTCCCTGGAGGAGCCGGGCTATTTTCAAAAATGACCTTGGCTTTCGGGTCGACTCAGCCTTGAGTGGGTACCGGGTTCAGTCCCGGGAAGTAAAGGTTGCTGGCGTGATGCTGACCACATCCCCCATCTTGTGCCGATTGGTCTATAAAACAATAGGTCTAGCCCTATATGCCCTATACGCCTAAAAGGCGTGGAAAAGGGTCCTTTTTTTTATATACACCTATGGAGAGATTTTCACTACATATAAGTCTAAGGAAGCAAGTTCTAATACAGAAAACATAGATCATTATAATCATGGAGAAGTAGAAACATAGAGGAAGTAATCGACACACCCACATGAAACAGACTACTATTTGCTGATGACCAGTGCTTGTTCTACCCCCTGAAGAAGATAAACAGCAAGATCACATTAACAGGTTAAACTCAGCATGCAGTAAATACAACATGAAGATCAATGCAAACAAAACCGAAACTGTTCAAGTTAGCTGAACCCCCACTACACGTACAGCTGAATGGTTTGTCTGAATCAAGTAAGGGTATGTAAATATCTTTGAAGTTTGATCACAGAAGATGGTAGAATTGACAGAGAAATAGAAACCAGATGCCCAAAAGCAAGTGCATTTTTATGCCACCTGTCACCAATATTAAAACATCCAAATATAACTGAGTGCAAAAAGACAGATTATAAACAGCATATTTATTCCAACATTAAGCTACCAGTGCCAGACATGAACACTAAAGCCCATGAATGCAACATCACCATGTGCAGGATGAGATGTCTGAGAAAAGCTGCCAATCTAACCATCCAAGATCGAAGGGAACAATGATACTGTCAGACATCTTGTACTAGATTCATTGTGAAACAGCAGATCAGGTGGTTTGGCCATCTCGTTAGAATGCAGCAAGATCAGATACCATCACAAACACTACATCTCAGAAGATCAGCTACATGAGCAAGAGGACAGCCGTGAAAATATGGATCGACAACATTAAAGACACTCTAAGCCTTCACGACAGGGCATTGCAAATTATTCCTCCCCACGATGCTTAATTGCAAAAGTGGTTTATGATGATATATGTCTTTGTGATTGACCCAGTCAGAAAATTGAACGAGAGAATAATTTGTTAATGAAAGTTGATGAAACAATAAACTGGTAAAGAAGGTTGATGGTAATATGTCTCAGTTCAGTTACTGCATATATATGACAGTCTTCAGCTTTGCACTCATACAGTGGCATTACCAGAAATTAAATTTATTTTTTAAAACCATACACGCGTGAAAGGATATTACATAGAACCTGTTTTACCACATAGCTGTGAACCTTGCACTAGCCAGAAAATTCTTTGTGACCTCAGAGATAGGATTTTACAGAAGAATATTAAAAGTTCTTGCTCAATCAAAATGTGAAAGGGAAGGACACTTCTCCATGTCTTCAGGCATATAGGGCTAGTCATATTTTCATCACACCTGTCACCTTTACTTCCCTGGACTTTACCTGGCACCCATTTTAGGCTGGGTCAACCTGGGAGCTAAGGACATATTTTGAAGAAACAAAAGTCTGGCTCCCCCAGAACTTGAACTCACGACCTTCAGATCTGCAGGCAAGCATCTATCAATTGCACTGTGGCAGCGCCCTCAGTCAAAATGAATAATCTGAAATATTTTAAAAGTCTTACACGCGAAAAGAACTTATCACAACCATCCGAAAGAGGCAGTTATCATTGTTTGGCTACATTGTGGAAAGACAAAAACTGTAACATGTTGTTACCACTTGAAAGAGTTATGGAAAGAGTGATAGAGGAGGATGGAAAAGTAGATCCTTGAAATGCTTTTGTCACGTGTATAAAGGTATCAGTAGACAAATTAGCACATGCAGGATTATTCAACAACACTTGTAATCAACTCTCTTTGTGAGTTTTTTTCTTTCATGAGATCTTCATTGTGCCTAGTCTCTCTGTAGTGCTCACATCATCGTTCTGTAAAATCACATCTGTGCTGCTTTCACGTAATTTCTCACTGATCTGCAGATTTGTTTTCATAATTTGGGATTGTCTCTTAAAACCTCTTGTTTCTTGCCTCAGTTGGCAAAGCTAGACTACATAGACTGTTCTTCAGTATGTGAAATGCTGCTCTTTCCCTGGACTATTGAACTTCTGTAACCCCCTTAGCCCTGTAAATGCCACTAGCATGGCATCACTGTCTTTTACAAATCCCTGTAAATGCCACTAGCATGGCATCACTGTCTTTTACAGATCCCTGTAAATGCCACTAGCATGGCATCACTGTCTTTTACAAATCCCTGTAAATGCCACTAGCATGGCATCACTGTCTTTTACAGATCCCTGTAAATGCCACTAGCATGGCATCACTGTCTTTTACAGATCCCTGTAAATGCCACTAGCATGGCATCACTGTCTTTTACAGATCCCTGTAAATGCCACTAGCATGGCATCATTGTCTTTTACAGATCCCTGTAAATGCCACTAGCATGGCATCACTGCCTTTTACAGATCCCTGTAAATGCCACTAGCATGGCATCACTGTCTTTTACAGATCCCTGTAAATGCCACTAGCATGGCATCATTGTCTTTTACAGATCCCTGTAAATGCCACTAGCATGGCATCACTGTCTTTTACAGGTCCCTGTAAATGCCACTAGCATGGCATCACTGTCTTTTACAGATCCCTGTAAATGCCACTAGCATGGCATCACTGTCTTTTACAGATCCCTGTAAATGCCACTAGCATGGCATCACTGTCTTTTACAGATCCCTGTAAATGCCACTAGCATGGCATCACTGTCTTTTACAAATCCCTGTAAATGCCACTCAACCAGTATTGCTGCTTTGGCTTGTCTCTGAGAAACCTAGCTAGTTAACATTGGTTTTGTTTGCACCCAGCTTATCATGTTTAGGAGGCCCCTGATGTGATCATGTTTAGGAGGCCCCTGATGTGATCATGTTTACTGGTGTTTATTGTGTGTGAAAATGGCTTGTTGTTATTTACCTTAGTCGCATAGCGATGAGATAGGGAATCAGGTATAAGTCACTGTGTACATTTGTGTTAGGTCCAAGTCACTGTGTACATTTGTGTTAGGTCCAAGTCACTGTGTACATTTGTGTTAGGTCCAAGTCACTGTAATCCATTTAATTGTCCACGCCATTCATAAAGTATTGCCCCACTTCATATATAGGCATTTAAAATAAAAATATGAATTAATAAGTGTAAAACAAAAAAAAACAAACAACAAAACAAAATTGGTGACCCATGTAAACTGTTTTTCTCTCAGGGATTAAAAAAAAAATAGCCTGGATCATATATTTTTTTTTGTCAAGGGTTTCTAGGATGAAAGGGTTAATACAGTTTTATATGCTGTTATGAGTACAATTATTAAACAGTTTGGCTTGCTTTAGATGACTTCTGTTTACCGTTGTCTGAATTTGCAAGGAACTTGTAGAATAAACTGTATGCTTGCTTTATTTAACCAGGGATGCATGGCCTCAGTCCTGGACTTATTCTTGGAGGGACCATGGGAAGAGTTCACGGAACAAATCTCCTTTGACAGACAGAAGTCTTCTGCAGGAGCCACAAGATCAGCAGTTCTGCTAACACCACGGGATGTGAGGGAAATGGTGAGGGAAAACAGTCATCATCATGTGTGTGTCTTTGCCTGTGTGTGTGTGTGTGTGTGTGCATGTGTCTGTGTGTGTTTGCCTGTGGGTGTGTCTGCATGTGTGTATGTGTCTGCATGTGTGTCTGTGTGTGTTTGCCTGTGTATGTGTCTGTGTGTGTGTATCTGTGCGTGTGTGCCTGTATGTGTTTGTGTTTGCATGTATGCATTTGGGGGTATGTGCATGGAAGCAGGTCTCGACCTGTGGGAAGACTTTAGTTCTGAGCTTTATTTTTTGGATTTTTTTTTTTAAATTAACAAAGATATACAATTGAAACATGTACTTTTACTGTTCAGATTGGCTTTCTTAGAAGCACAACTGTTCATCTCGATGAAGGAACCAGCAACAAGAAGACTCTAGAACAGCTTCTAGCTGTTCTTCCAGCAGACATGCCACCATCTTTAGGAGATATTGTATCTGTCACAGGAGGTGGCGGGGCCGCCCCACCATCGACACCGGGAACTGGGTCATCTGCTCAAACACCAGACACACCTGGGACGCCCAACTCTGAGAGGAAGTTGTTTAAATCTAAAGGTATTGATGTGCAGGCTGTGTTTGGTTAATTTCACAAGCAGCGTGTTATTTCAGATTAGGATTGAAATTAGTCACTGGTGGTGAAACAAGAGGGTTTCACTGCACTCAGAGGAAAGGCAAGATGGACATATAACCAAAATTGTGACCGGTATCATCAGTATTGGAACTCTGCGCTGGCTGCTGAAGATGGGGACGGAGCGCACATGGGCATGCCCTGAGTGCTGTGATGTCAGTTCTTGAATTGACTCAACTTAACTTACTGGATTTTTTAAAAAGGTTTAGCCATCTGTCAGGTACCAACTACTATAGAGAGAAATTAATCACATGAACTGTGTCTTAAAAGCCTAACGAAATGGTAAGGCAGAACAATGTGTACAAAACAACACAAATCGAGGTTTCAGCCGACACGAACTAAACTACACAAGAGTAATAAAGAGGAGAGTACTCTAACCACCAAGGGTTCACGTGAGAAACTATTTTTTAAAGAAAATTGGGGTGGGGAAAGGGGGGGGGGATGTGTAATGGATTTAGGAAGGCATGATAAACAGTCGTAAAAGTGATGATATATAACCAGAGTAGGAATAATAGAGTAATTCGTTAGAAATAAAACAAATAGGACGCTTCAGCGTGCCACTGGGGCTTTGCTTTACTTGCGTCCTTTAAAAAAGAGTAATAGAAATACAACTGTTAATGATCCATAACTAAAACTGATAAGAGACAGGTTAAAAAATATGAATGTGAAATAAAATAAACAAATAATTAAATTCAATTAAAAATAATGTGACAATAGTAAAATGTTTTTAGATGAAGGAATGCTGGACATTGATGCCTCCAGGACTTGGAATACCCTGACTATGCAGTAGGCAATTTTCCAAATTGAGTCGTGTGGTATAGAGAGCCATGTTGAAGAAGTGAACAAAAAGCAAGGAAAAACTGTGCAAATCAAACTCAGAATCTCAACAACAACAAAATCTACTCTGTCTTATAACTGATTATACAAGTTGTCGCACATAAATTTCTCTAATTCCTTCACCTTCTATAATTTATATTTAATGTTTTTGATTTTAAAAAAAATGCCTTAAACTTTCCATTCTCCCCATGTGGGTCTGAGGTTCCATTGTGCGGGGAAAACCAGAATAAACCCACTGCCTCCCTGACAAGCATGTCGACTAGTGGATTCCTTCAAAGTCAGGGTGCATTTGCCTAAGAGGCAAAGAACCAACAGCCTGCATACAAATAAGCCAGATCTGTAATACAGATGTACACACAGCACTCAAGTTCTGGAACGAGACTAAAGTCCAGAAGTGGGCGGATAACCAGAACTTTCCGCCAAAGCTTACAGCCAGTAAACTTGAAGAAGAAAATACAAGCTGTTTAGCAGTCTATCCAACTTTTACTGGCAAATGTTGAGATTAAAATCACATCAGAATTGAAGATACCTTCCGTTACTGTTCCTTGTTTAAGTCATGACAGTGTTTATTCTGGCCAAAGTATTTGTTTTCCAGACATAACACTGTTCAAAGGCCATTTTCCTTTGATGGTAGACTAGTGCTTCGGATAGTCTCTCTTCCCCCGGCCCCTAAAGGTGGGGGATCGTTCATGGGAGCGGTAGCAGCCTTTATCACATGTAGATTTGCAGGGGTGGGAGGTTAGATCCAAGTCCAGTTAGGAGAGCATTAAATACAAGTTTTTTTTTTTAAAGGAGGAAAAAAAAAGGGGGGGGGGGGGGTGTGTGTGTGTCTCACACAGCCTTCTGCCTCTACATCCAGTTATTTCTGACACAGATGATCTTGCTTGCTAAATTAAACCATCCAGCATCTTTTCCCCTTAGTCTTCCTCTCTATCTCTTTCCCTTCAACTTTCCTGCTGTCACGGTGTTTTGCAGTTTTCTCCTTTTTATGATTTGACCAAAGAATGTAGATTTTATCCTTCTGATGCAGGATAAAGAAAATACTGAGAAGATGAAATTATGTTTTTGAGATTTTGTTTGATACTCAGCAGCTGTATCAATCATATTCATGTTATATTTCAGGCACTAGAAAGAGACGCACCACTACAAGTTCTCTCAATTTTGAGGAAGTAATGACAGATGGCACAGATAACGACAGCAAAGCCAAACCCAGCGATGTTCTAGTAATTTCCATTTACCCGCCAGGTGACTGCCTTGGTTTGTTGCCAGAGAAGAAGGTAATAGCCATGTCAAGGAAATTATTTTTGATGCTTAAATAGAAATATTTCAGTCTTTTAAAAAAAAAAAAAAAAAGATTTGTTGCACATAAAGTGTAATTTATATTCTATAATCAATGAAAATGGTTCAAAATTCAAACAAATAGCAGGATACCAGTGAATTATGCAGTTCTTAAAAAGGTAGGTAAAAACTACAATTTAAAGGAATTGTAGTCAGTTTTAAAAGCAGGTTATTATATTCATTTCTGACATATGCCAGTGAGTGTTGGAGAGCCTTAAAGACATGACATGCAGTCTTTTACTCTTGGCCTCAGTATACTAAATAGATCATGTTAGATATTGAAAGTGGAGCAAGGTACAAATATATTCATTCTTTCACATTTGGTCTCGGCATACTAAATAGATCAGGCTAGATTTTGAACATGAAACATGGTACATATATTCATTCTTTCACATTTGGTCTCAGCATACTAAATAGATCAGGCTAGATTTTGTACATAAAACCTGGTACATATATTCATTCTTTCACATTTGGTCTCAGTATACTAAATATAAATAGATCAGGCTAGATTTTGAACATGAAACATGGTACATATATTCATTCTTTTACATTTTAAAAATTGTATACACTGAACACAAATCACAGTGAAAGGCTCATTCTCCCATTTCTCTCCCCCCCGCCTTGTATTGGTGTCCCTTTGGCAGGTTTTTTTTGGGAAGGGGGGGGTGGGGGGGGGGGTCATTTTCAAACTGTACTGATTGTACTACATAAATCTCTCTCACACAGTTATCTCACCTTTAGTTTGATGGGCCTGTGACTAGAAGTTTTGTACTGTACATCAGGGATATTCCACTGGCGGCCAGGGGAGGCAAGCAAGAGGCTTTGTGAATATTTGCCAAATGTATTGTATAAAGGGGACAGAACTCTAACTTACCTGACTCCTTTCATCATCTTGCATTTGCTGGACTGTGCACTCCACTGAAATGTTCTGGTTGGTCCTCTGTCTGAGCTTTGGATTTGTTCCAGGGCTTGGGTCTTATGTGCACATCTGCTTTCAGATATAGCTTTTTGTTTGCAGACTGGTGATTCCTTGAGAGTAATAATCCTCCAGCTAAAAAAACAAAAAGCACAGATATGGCAGCCTACCTGTAGACCACAACACAAGATGCCCTTTTAAGGGCGAACACAGAAGACTCTAACCAGTCTGACACTTTTCAGCGGAACAAGTACATTTATGTTGTTATGATTTTTACGAGTTTGGTTAATTCTCTTTTCCATCAGGTGTTGTCGTCAGTCCTGGACTCTGAAGGCAAGCAGGTCAACTCTCACCCTGTGCCACCGTCTGATCCTGTCCCTGTAGCTACTCCCCAGGCAGCACCTAATCCAGAAATTCAGGAGAAGCGTACCCGATTCTCATTGTCACATGACCAAGAATCAATAGGTTGGTATATTTATTTATCATAAACATGTGTCATTTTCTAAAGTTGTAATTACCATATGTTGTATTGAAATATTTTCAGTAAAGGTTGTTGTGTAGTTGGATTTGCTTCCTTGTTCATGTTGAGTGAGCAGTGGGTATGCATGCATTGGTCATCATGGTCTGAAGAGAATGGTGCTGGGTAGACTGACCAGGGGATCTGGCCGATGCTCAGCACTCCAGGGGGAGGCGAGACGGGTTTACAATCAGACTATTTCTGGTACCATTCGAACTGAAACTCTGCGCTTGCTCCTGAAGATGGGGACAGACCGTTTATGGGAGTGTCTGAGTGCTGTGATGTCTCAATTAAGCATTCTTGTTTATACCACTGCTAATGTATTTTGTTTCTGTTGGGGCAAAAATTTAATTTTTATCGCCAACCATTTCATGTCGACTGCACTAGCCATGGAGTCCTTCCTTAGCACTCAAGATTCCTGTCCAACACTGGTCAAGATGGCTGTTTTCCCCAGGTTGCCATGTTTGGTGTTTTTATATTGTATTGGTGGACAGTGTTATGTAATTAAATCATTAGGTCTCTTGCCACTAACTTAAATGATGATGCTTCTGAACATTTCACATTCTGCAACAGTGTATCAGTTTGTGAGCTAAATACTTTACCATGATAAAAAAAAAAAAGAATTTGCTCTCACTGCCATCATGTATTTGTTCATTCCTTAACAAAGATCTTCTGTTTTGAACCTTTCCTATTGTTAACAGTTTCTTTAAAACAAAAAATTAAAAATTGTGACAACAGAGATGAAATGTCTTAGAAGAGCTGCAGGAGTTTCAAGGAAAGAATACGAAATCAGACAAATGCTAGGAATAAAGCCAGTGTTACAGGTCATCAAAGAACAACAAATGAAGTGGTTTGGACACCTAACAAGAATGCCCTGGTACTATCTGCCACAGCGAGCCACACTGAAATGTGACAAGGAGTATAGAGCAAGCGGAAGACCTCGGAACAGATGGGCAGATGGCATTAAGAACAGCCTTACAGAAATGAACATCAATATTTATAGTGCTCTTGACAGAGCTCATCAACAACACTTCGCTGAGGTACAAGGTGGAAGAGGAGAAGAAGAACAGTTTCTTTGGATATGTAATTGAATTTAATTATAAAAAGTTCGTTACCATGTTAATTTTTAAAACACAAAAATCGTACTAGACAAACAGAACTAAACTAATTTAAAGCTTATAGAAATTTGTCATTCAAAGGACAAACTTTAAAGCCTGTTCATATTGTAAAGGACCAATTTTATTCCACTGGCATACTTATATAGACCAGTTGGCACTTAGTAGGTGATGTGATCAACATGAACCTGGCCGTCATTACTCCTTGGGACGTTTCCTGGAATGCATCTTAGGCTGGGTCAGTCTGGTCGCCAAGGTTGATTTAGAAACTAATTTGATTTGATGCAGATTCAAACCCAGGACATTTGGATCAGCAAGCGAGTGTCTAGCTATTGCACTACCACGGCTCCCATTTCTGTTTGAGATCATATTTAATTGAATATATAATACGATTCTAAAGATGTGTGTTGTGTTTTAAATATCAGGGAATGCTAGTGACTATCAAGAAGTCATATCTGAGGCTGCCTCCAGTCATTCTGTTGAAGACGAGGAGAACGAGCTGGAAACAGACAACTTTTCTGACATGATGTCTGCAAATGTGAGTGGACGAGGATCACCTTCAATAAGTGGCAGGGACACACCACTGTCTCAGGCTGGCAGCGTTGAGGAGAACCCCCCACGTAAGTTTTAGTTAGTTCCTGTCCCAGTCCTCTTTAATGTGTATACGTTGTGAATAACCGACCAGTAGTTGAATGGGTGTGGCAGGATTCTGTCATTTGCTGATGACATTTTGGTCTATTGACATGAAAGAAAATATCATGAGATTGCCAAAGCAATGCAGAGTGAACTTGATAGCCTTTCCTCCTGGTGTGAAGACTCCAGTGCGCATGTCAACTCTTCAAAATCCTTAGTACTGTGGTTCTCCTTGAACATGCATATGGTTAAGGCAGACCTACCAGTGGTGGAAATTAGCGGCGAAGCTGTGACAGCTTGAAGTGAAGTTTGATCGCAGTCTGTCCTTCAAAGACCACGTCGACCATGTTGTAATGAAAGCCCATAAAAGCTTATCAGCAATGAGGGTCTTGGCCACTCCCAACATTGAGCAGAGACTGCTTCTGCTACTGTTCCAGGGACTGGTTCTTTCTTCAATCGAATATGTTTGTCATACTCACTGTCAGCGATACTCATTGAAAGACTGGAAAAGGTGCAAAATGAAGCCATGCGCATTATTCTGGGGTGCACAAGAGAAACCGCTTGCATAGCAGTGAGATATCTTCCTGACTTTCCAACAGTGCACCATAGGATGAAGATCTGGTGGACTCGTGTCAACCTGAAGATAAGCTCGGATTTGAAGCCCCTCTACACAATGTTCTCTTTAGGATTAAAAAAAAGGGCAACAGGCTAAAAAGAGGCAATTTATGGCTCGGTAGAGCAGAGGACAAAATCATACAGGTCTGCAGTCTTACAGGTATCAACCTCGACCAAGAATGGATACCTGTGCCCCAGGTGCTCTACTGCACCTTTTCCTGTGTTGCCACACTTGATAGGAGCTGTCAGGAGCAGAACCCAGTTGCTGTTAGGGCAGAGGTCCACACGCTTATGTGTGAAAATTCAAATGAGGTGAATGTACTGATCAACACAGATAGGCTGGTTGTAAGATTTTTAAAAAAAGTGCATGGGCATTTACTGCGTGCTCTGCAGGCAGAACAGTCCACGGGGCCACTGATGCCTTCTGTATGACTACTAGCATCATGACAATGGAGGTGATGTGTGCTGAATGATTCCTTGAGCATGATCCCACGAGTCGAGGCAGGCTTTGTACCCAGACATTGAATCGAGTCATTGCAAAACTCCACTGTGCGTGAAGTTAACTTCATCTTTGTACCAGTGTATATATGTGTTGTTGGCAATGAAAGAGCCGAAATATTAGCCGGCTCTACCAACCTTGGCTCACAGTATGTGGTAATGCTGACAGATGCTAAATCAGTACTTGAAGCACTCCAGTCTAGGAAACTACCAGAATTGCAAACACTGCTGACACAACTCAGCGTTTAGCGAAGAGTCGTAATGCAGTGGATACCGTCTCATTGTGGAGTGCCTGGAAATGAGAAAGCTGATCAACTGGCAGGGGAAGGTGTGACAAAAGAGCAGCCGGATGTACCAGTCACATACCACCAAAAGAAAAGAATCATTAAATCGATCAGGAAACCACCAGCCCCAGCACAAGACGACTATTTTATTATGGACAGACCAGAACAAGTCATTATCCTCCGCCTCAGAACAGGGCACAACCGATTACGTAACCACATGTACACAAAATTCAAGATAGGTGTATCAGCCATGTGCACCTGTGGAAATGTGCCCCAGACAGCAGAGCATGTACTCCAGGACTGCACCGATTTTGACACATTAAGGCAAACCTTTTGGCCAGAAAGAACAACAGTGGAACGTAAACTCTATGGACCACTGAATGAACTAACAACGACAGTGAAATTTATACAAGAGACAAAACTGCTGATATAGACAACTTATTTCAGGCGAACGAAAGAAGAAGAAGAAGAAACTGGCTCTTAGACTGGCTTTGGCTTAGACTGAGTCTGCCTTAGACTGAGTCTGCCTTAGACTGACTCTGCCTTAGCCTGGCTCTGCTGGTACCTATTTTAAGCTGAGTCAATGCAGTAGTCGAGGTCATTTTTGAACAAACCCAACTATACAGATTTGAACCTATGACTCTCAGGCCCTCAGGCGAGCATCTAGCTGCTACGCTACAGTGGATCTGGGTGTTGGGAAGAAAGTTAGTACATCAGCACCAAGACATAAATTTAATTATGAAAGATTGAAATTGTGTTTTGGACTTCATTTCCAGCTCCACAACTTCCTGTGCCAGTTCCGGAGACTGTGAGAAAAGAAAACAGAGTTGATGTAACGGAAAGATTCGGCAAGTTTGAGATCAAAGCAGAGCTTGCAATGGAAAGTAAGTTTTCATAGAGGAATTAATTCAAGATTAATCCTAAATAAATAAGGCATAATAAAAGATTGAATTACAGATAGATATGAAATGCAGAGTTCTATCATCAGGGAAAACCACAGCTGTGTTTGAAGTAGGAACATGAATGCATTTATACTCTATTCCATTTGTAGTATAGCTGACTGGCACCTTTCTGTCTTTCCACACAATGGTACTATCTTGTGTGATAGGGAGACATGGGAGTGGTAGCCCTTGTTGAGGTGAATGTGATAGCAAGATCTGCACAGGCTAAGAAAAGTCTCTGTAGTTTAGAGCATGAGATTTCAGGACAACTGTTTCCATCATATGTGTTTAATGTGCTTTTTCCCACACACTCAGTTCTCAACTGTTTCCATCATATGTGTTTAATGTGCATCTTCCCACACACTCAGTTCTCAACTGTTTCCATCATATGTGTTTAATGTGCTTCTTCCCACACACTCAGTTCTCAACTGTTTCCATCATATGTGTTTAATGTGCATCTTCTCACACACTCAGTTCTCAACTGTTTCCATCATATGTGTTTAATGTGCTTCTTCCCACACACTCAGTTCTCAACTGTTTCCATCATATGTGTTTAATGTGCTTCTTCTCACACACTCAGTTCTCAACTGTTTCCATCATATGTGTTTAATGTGCTTCTTCTCAGACACTCAGTTCTCAACTGTTTCCATCATATGTGTTTAATGTGCTTTTTCTCACACACTCAGTTCTCAGCTGTTTCCATCATATGTGTTTAATGTGCTTTTTCCCACACACTCAGTTCTCAACTGTTTCCATCATATGTGTTTAATGTGCTTTTTCCCACACACTCAGTTCTCAACTGTTTCCATCATATGTGTTTAATGTGCTTTTTCTCACACACTCAGTTCTCAGCTGTTTCCATCATATGTGTTTAATGTGCTTTTTCTCACACACTCAGTTCTCAGCTTGTCTGTAGTCATTGTGTCCCTTATTCTCATTCTCTTCCTGATTTCCTTCCTCCACCCAGCGTGGTGCATGGCATTTTATTTCTGTAAACCTACCTCATTACTTGTATCATGTCCTCCTTGCATATCTCTTTATATTTATGATGACATTGTGCTCCTGTTCTGCTATAAAAATCTGTGGCTGTCTCTCAGTTCATTTGAATTTATTTATCATTCATATTTGTAAGTTTGTGTGACCTTGCTATGAAACAGAATTTGTATTTTCTTCAAGGGGATGAGTGCAAGTCAACAGTCAGTGATACCTGGAGTACAGATGTCCTGGCCAGTGACTCCGAACCTCCTGAACAGAATCAGGTTGACAGACTGGAGGAGGTGGCTGAGGAAAATATCAGGCCATTAGTCTTAGGGTCAGAGGTGAGTTGTTGAAGAATTCTCGCCTGTTGGATGTGTGTAGATGACGGTTTCTGAATGTTTATCACTCCCATTCATTGGTTTTAGGGGTTATCTCTTAGGTGAAGTGGGATAACTGCCTCAAGGTCTGAAGGTTGCGGGTTCCATTTTTAAGACTTCTCATGTAATTATTGAGTGTAGATGTTTCAGAAATTCTTGGAATAAATGAACACGCAAAGAAATATGATTGCCTACATCAGAATTAAATAGTTCATTCTTTTGGCAAATTATGAGGGTTGAAAAAAACTGCTGACATGGTGGATAGGCTAGAGATACCAAGATACAGGTGGGGACCAAGAGAAATGAAGTCAGTTTAGCATCCTAGCAAAGCTGGTCATCTGTATCAGTACTGATTAAAAGTATGTGAGACAGCTGGCTCCCCGTGTTTGTCCCAGGAACACATTTTAGGAAAAAGAAAAGACCCACTGACTTCTTAACCAGTGGATCATAAAAGGGGACAAATTAATTAAGGGATTGCTGAAATTGAATGTGTTGGGCCTAAAAATGCAGATATCACAAAACGATGTCAGTAGCCATTTCAAGGGTGATGCATAAGAAGGCAGAGGCTGGGGACAGACATTATTACCAGCTTCACTCATCTGGAATTGAGAAGATGATATAATAAGCTGATGGAATGGCTTGACCACACTAGATTCTGGCTTCTGTCTCTGGTTGTGGGGGAGTTTACACTGACCAGATGGTTTCTTTGACCGACACTGTGCTACCAGTGCCAAACATGGACCCTTGCCACAACTAACAAGCAGAAGATCATAACAACATCGACGACATGTCTTAGGAGAGCTGCCAGTAGGACCAGAAAGATAAAATCAAGAATGAAGAAATTAGAAGACTAGGACTGTGCATTAAAGAGCAACAAATGAGATGGTTTGGCCACCTGACGAGAATGCCCTGGTACCAACTGCCACAGAGAGCCACGCTGAAGAAATATAATGAACACATAGTGCAAGAGGAAGACCACGCAAGAGATGGAGCAACATCGTCAAGAGCAGCCTAACAGAAATGAACACCAACTTGTACAATGCATTGGGAAAAGCGCACAAGTGATCCTTACATCTCCCCACAACACCTCGCTGGGGTAAATGGTGGAAGAGAAGAAGAAGAAGAATTGTGTCCACCATAGGGTTACTGTCATGAGCTAACACATAGAGAAATATTGCCAAGTTAAAAGGTTTGACAAGACAGTGCACAAGAGTGAAAGTGAAAATAGTCATATAGCAGTTACTGCCGTTTGAGTCGTGAATATTAAGCCTTCGTTTTGGATTTGATCCCATTATCCTTGGATCTGCAGGTGAGCATCTAGCTGCTGCACCACGGCAGTTCCTTCACATATTCTGGGCATGCCATATAAGGTGAGGTGGCCACTTCCCTTCCTCGTCATTTTTACTTTCCACACAAATCTCAGAATGTTCTGAACATTGTTTGGTACCCATTTTTTTTTTAAAGACTGAGTGGACCACAGAGTTGTCCTGGGGGAAAACAAATATGAATGCCTGCGGTGTTGAATCTAGGCCACTGTCATGGCAGGCACACTAACTTTGATACCACCACAGCGCAGGAGTAGAGTGAATTTAAGATTGGAATCATGCAAAATAGTACACTATGACTTATGACAAAATAAATTCCATTGTATCAAGAGGTGAGGAAAAGATGCTGGTATTGAAAAGGACACACATGGAAATAAAACCTGATATCAGTATAACTATCTGGGCACAGGGATAACATCAGATGGAAGATGCATAACTGAAATTAGAAACAGAATTGGACAGGCAAAAACTGCATTTTATAAAATGAAAAACATCTTGTGCAATATATCCTTGTCATTGAGAGTTAGAAAAGGAATTCTTGCTTGCTACATACATCCAGTTTTAACATATGGCTGTGAATCTTGGACAATCGGTAGGCAGGCCAAACAATTTTTAGAGGCCTCAGAGATGTGGTTTTACAGAAGAATGCTTAGAATACCTTGGACAGCTAAAAAGAGCAACCAAGAGGTTTTGAAAGAGGCGGGAGTCCGAAGACAACTTATCACAGACATTAGAAAGAGACAGTCATCATTTTTTTGGCCATGTTATGAGAAGAGGGAAAATAGAACATGTTGTGACCACTGGAAAGATCTGTGGAAGGAGGGATAGAGGTAGACAACGAGAGAAGATGCTTGACAGTCTTGCATGGCATGGAGGTGTGTCGGCACACGAACTGATACATGCTGCAGGAGATCGCGGATTATGGAGAGGCATGATCGCCCACGCCAGTCGGCAGGGCACCTGATGATGATGATGATCAGTATAACTAGAACATTGTTTTCACTGGACTCAGTCAGAGTAGATAGAAAAACACATAAAAAAGAAATTTAGAGGAGGTGGAAAAAATGGGATGGACATGGAGGAGCTACAAACAATAGCAAAACAACAGGACAGCTTGGAGTGAGTTGGTTGAGGGCCTATGCTCCATCGGGGTATAACAGAACTCATGATAATTTCTTTGTAACTCAGGGTAAGTGCCTTTTTTCTGTGAATTAAGAAATGTGAATAATTTTTTTAAAGAGCTGTCATTTGAACTTCATTGTTTGTACACATGAACAGCCTATCTCTGAAATGTCCGAGACTGCCAGCGATGCCTGGAGTACGGATGTGCTGGCCAGCGATACAGAAGAGAAGCACTCTGAGCTTCTGAAAGATTTAGAACAGGTAAGCAGTCTGTCTGATGACATTCAGTAGGGTCTTTACTTTTTTCTTACAGTCTGTGCTGTGTAGAACCAGTAAGCAACCTGTTTGATGTCTGTCTAATGACATGACCAGGGTCTCTTCACTTTTTTCTTACAGTCTGTGCTGTGTAGAACCTGTAAGCAGTCTGTCTGTGCCTGTCTAATGACATGATAGAGGTTATCTACTTTGTTCTTATACTTTATGCTGTGTGATGTTTGTCATTTTTTCTAAAACAAATGTTTTTCCATACGATGACGCCAAACTGTCCAACAGCCTCTCAGTCTTCTCTGCTTCGCTTCCCCATCCAACGTTTCTTTTGTCACCAGTCTTCCCCTAATTTCTTTTGTCATATACTCGTCTTCCCCTCCAACATTTCTTTTGTCATGACATACGCCAGTCTTCCCCTCCAACATTTCTTTTGTCATGACATACGCCAGTCTTTCCCTCCAACATTTCTTTTGTCATGACATACACCAGTCTTCCCCTCCAACATTTCTTTTGTCATGACATACACCAGTCTTCCCCTCCAACATTTCTTTTGTCATGACATACGCCAGTCTTCCCCTCCAACATTTCTTTTGTCATGACATACGCCAGTCTTCCCCTCCATTTCTTTTGTCATGACATATGCCAGTCTTCCCCTTCCAGAGTTTCTTTTGTCATGACATACACCACTCTTCCCCATCCAGAGTTTCTTTTGTCATGACATGCACCAGCCTACCCCTACAACATTTCTTTTGTCATGACATACACCAGTCTTCCCCTCCAACATTTCTTTTGTCATGACATACACCAGTCTTCCCCTCTAACGTTTCTTTTGTCATGACATACATGTCTTCCCCTCCAACATTTCTTTTGTCATGACATACACCAGTCTTCCCCTCTAACGTTTCTTTTGTCATGACATACATGTCTTCCCCTCCAACATTTCTTTTGTCATGACATACATGTCTTCCCCTCCAACATTTCTTTTGTCATGACATACACCAGTCTTCCCCATCCAGAGTTTCTTTTGTCATGACATACACCAGTCTTCCCCTCCAACATTTCTTTTGTCATGACATACACCAGTCTTCCCCTCCAACATTTCTTTTGTCATGACATACACCAGTCTTCCCCTCCAACATTTCTTTTGTCATGACATACACCAGTCTTCCCCTCTAACGTTTCTTTTGTCATGACATACATGTCTTTCCCTTAAACATTTCTTTTGTCATGACATACACCAGTCTTCCCCTTCAATGTTTCTTTTGTAATGTCATACACCAGTCTTCCCCTCCAACGTTTCTGTTGTCAGATCATTTTAAGTTAGTCAGGTTACATTTTTTTTTTTGGGGTGGAATATATTTGAAACATACAACAGTTTGGAAAGTGTAAAATAATGTGGAATAATATTCTATTTCAGGATCTCATAACTGGGATATTAGACAGAGATGAAGGAGACAGTTCCCTTGGACACGATGAAATAAGTAATTACAGTTTGTGTTTTTTGCAGATTTGGACATGTTAGATCATGGTCTATCCAGACTAGATACAGTTTGTTTTTACTGTCAGTTGTCTAAAATTATTAGTTTCTGTGAATTCTGTATATTAAATTCAACTATCCATCTTTATGTTTTGTCTTGTCATGTCTTGAGAAAGGTGGAGACAGGCATGCTGCGTGCAAAGTGCAAAGCATCACTTGAAAGATCCCGGGTAGTTAGCATTCTTTAGATATTTTCTCCGGGTCATGCCGGTGTGTTGGGAAATGAGCAGAGGGATAGACAGGCTGGTTCTGCACCACTTGGTGGTGAACTGATGTATGACAAGCTAGCTGGGTGTTGTGAGGGAGTGAGTCAACAGGGTCGAGGCACAGATAGATCATTATGGTCTAAGATGAATGGCACTGCGAGGAGTGACAAGGGTATCTGGCTGACGCTCGACACTCAGGGGAATTTCGAGACTGATATGCAATCAGACAGTTACTGGTACCATCAGAATTTCAACTCTTGCTTGATGCTGAAGATGGGGGACGTAGGCTTATGGCGGTGTCCCGAGTGATGTGGATTCTTATTTCAAAATTCAACATTCATTCTTGTCATGGTCACATGCAAATGTGAGAAGAGAACAGGAACGCACAGTGAATAAATAACCTGAGAGAAGCATGAAATAAACAACAACACATGAGGGAAAAACTATGTGTATGTTTGCTGATGGGAGTTTGCACTCTATTGCTACCGAAATGTCAGAAGAGTTACCATTTGTTAATACGTTTATGTCTTTATACATGTTCTTTGTCTTAAAATATAAAAAAAATAATTATACCAATTTTTTTTCTTTCTAAAACCTATTTTAAAATGAGTTTACTTGACCTTGTGATGTCATGAACATTTGTTTCCCTCACAGTTGATGAGAGTTGTGATGTCATGAACATTTGTTTCCCTTACAGTTGATGAGAGTTGTGATGTCATGAACATTTGTTTCCCTTACAGTTGATGAGAGTTGTGATGTCATGAACATTTGTTTCCCTTACAGTTGATGAGAGTTGTGATGTCATGAACATTTGTTTCCTCACAGTTGATGAGAGTTGTGATGTCATGAACATTTGTTTCCCTTACAGTTGATGAGAGTTGTGATGTCATGAACATTTGTTTCCTCACAGTTGATGAGAGTTGTGATGTCATGAACATTTGTTTCCTCACAGTTGATGAGAGTTGTGATGTCATGAACATTTGTTTCCCTTACAGTTGATGAGAGTTGTGATGTCATGAACATTTGTTTCCTCACAGTTGATGAGAGTTGTGATGTCATGAACATTTGTTTCCCTTACAGTTGATGAGAGTTGTGATGTCATGAACATTTGTTTCCCTAACAGTTGATGAGAGTTGTGATGTCATGAACATTTGTTTCCCTTACAGTTGATGAGAGTTGTGATGTCATGAACATTTGTTTCCTCACAGTTGATGAGAGTTGTGATGTCATGAACATTTGTTTCCCTTACAGTTGATGAGAGTTGTGATGTCATGAACATTTGTTTCCCTAACAGTTGATGAGAGTTGTGATGTCATGAACATTTGTTTCCCTAACAGTTGATGAGAGTTGTGATGTCATGAACATTTGTTTCCCTAACAGTTGATGAGAGTTGTGATGTCATGAACATTTGTTTCCCTAACAGTTGATGAGAGTTGTGATGTCATGAACATTTGTTTCCCTTACAGTTGATGAGAGTTGTGATGTCATGAACATTTGTTTCCTCACAGTTGATGAGAGTTGTGATGTCATGAACATTTGTTTCCTCACAGTTGATGAGAGTTCCCTTGAACTTGATCAGCTTGGAGCTGTGGGAGGAGGTGGCAACAGTCAGATGTCTTTGGAAACTAATGACTCATTTTCTGATGTGTTCGTAGAGATGTCTGGTAAATCTATGGATGACAGTGAACGGATGGGCAATGGGAAAAAGATTTCCAGTATCGTGCATCACTTTCAGTCAGGACCTAATCTGCAGTTGCCATCAATACATCGGGTGCCTTCTCAATCCTTAAAGCATGCTGAGGGGCGGGTGACCTCGGTCATTGGCAATTTTGAAAGTAATTCACCCACTGGGTCTAGTGCCACTTCAACAAGCACAGTCATCCATCCCTCAACAGGAGCCAGGAGTAAAGTTAGGGAAAAGAAGAAAGAAAGAGAAGGAAGGTTAAGCATTGGTAGAGGTGAAGATGGAATAAGTGATTTTGATCAAGTGCCATCCAGTGGTGCCGCAGGCGGATTCAAAAAGAAGAAGGATCGATGGACCTGGAGTAGAAACAGTAATGCAACTTCTGATCATCACAGTAAGCCATCTCATACCGATGACCAAGACTTGTCTGTGGGCAGTGCCCCCACAGCCAGCCATGGCTTCCCAACTCCACCCTCAGGAGGTCAGGGAAATCACACATCATCTCGAGACTCTGGGATTGATATTTGGGTGAGCACCAACGGTCAAATTTCTGGAAGTTCAACACGTTCCACACCCACAGTTCATCGTTCATCATTTGACTCTATGTCAAACCGGCAGGTGGCACCGCCCCTTCCTGGAAGGTCATCCTTGGATTCAAATCTCCAGCGCCTTCATTCTGGCAGTGGAAGGGGGATGTCTGGTATCCCTCCAACAGTAGACTCTGGCATTCCATCTTATGTTTCCAGTACAGTCTCCTCATCTCTTGACAATAATACACCACCTCTAGAGATTGATAACCCTCTTTTTCGTCTAATGAACTGTGAGTCATCAGGTGCGGCTCAAAACCAAAATGGCAGGGCTTTAGTCTTTGATAGCAGCCTTAACCAGCGGGATCAAACCAGCAAAGAGTCTCTTATGGATTCCAAGACAGAAAACAAACCTGGGTTTCTAGCAGAGGATGATTATACTGGTGTGAAGACCACTCCACAGATTGAAGTTACAGACATCTTCAAAAAAAGTTCAGTTGTGGATGAAAGAGACCAGTCTGACACTGATGTCCCGAGCACTGGAGAGCAGAGAGTCTCTAATGTCAACGAAAGACGACTGTCATCAGCTTTGACATTGTTTGACCCGTTTGCACCTGAAAGTGAGGATGTGGATGTGTCTAGTGACCTGACAGCTGCAGCAGGGCTTACAAAAGACCTCAGCTTCGATAGTCAGGTCAGGTTTCTCGATCAAGAAGCCCAGTTGCAGAAAAATACAGACTCATTTTTTCCAAAGCAGTCAAATGGTATGGCTGTAATGGTAGATGAGAATATTAAAGAAGACCTGGGAGTGACTGATCAAAAAGGTCACAGTCGTCAGAATAGTAGCGGAAGCAACCAGTCAGCATCATCATTGAAACTGAACACAGCCTATGAGACTCCAACCAAACAACCAGCTTCGGACATCACAGAAGACAAGGTTAGTAAAGTAGTGATTTCAAGTATTCAGTGTTTCTGACATTATCAGTTTATTTATTATTTATTAGTTTTGTTTGGGTGACTGGCAGTTTGTGGACAGTATTTTTGTTTTGGTGACAGGCAGTTTGTCTGTGTACAGTATTTTTGTTTTGGTGACAGGCAGTTTGTCTGTGTACAATATTTTTGTTTGGGTGACCGGCAGTTTGTCTGTGGACAATATTTGTGTTCTTCTTCTTCTTCTTCTTCACTTCCTCTTTTACCGCTGTGGGTGTCGAGGGAGATATAAGGTTCTGTTTCTAGCTCTTCTGGCTGCCTTGACCATTGGCACATCGTGCTGTTGAAGAGTTTCTCTGATGTTATCCTTCCATCTTGTTCTTGGTCTACCCCGTGCTCTACGTCCCTCTTCTCTTTCCATGTGTGCTTTGTATGGTATGGTGTCACAAGGCATTCTCTCTAAGTAGGCAAACCATTTCACTTGCTGTCTTTGTATGTAATCCAGAATTGGTTCTGTGCCGACTTGTTCTCTTATGATCTCATTCCTGATCTTATCTCTTATGGTCACTCCTACAGCCCTTCTCAGACATCTCATTTCCGTGGTTACTAATTTTCTTTTATGGTTTGTTGTGAGTGACCATGTCTGGCACTGGTAGCACAGAGTTGGAATAAATATGCTTTGAATAAGATGTCTCTTTGTGCTGATTGGGATTGTCTTATGCTGTAAGAGGGGGGCTAGCTGTCCCAATACTTGGTTTGCTTTACTGCATCTAATGTCAATTTCTTTATCCAATTTCCCATCTTCGGTAAATGTAGTTCCCAGATATTTAAACTCAGATGCCTGTTTAATGCTTTTGTATTCTATTGCTATGTTTAGATCTGTCTTCTTTTTTCCTATTGACATTACTTCTGTCTTTTCAGTGTTGATTCTCATATTATTTGTTTTACATTCTTCATTCATGGATGTTAGATGTTGTTGCAATTTCATGGCTGTATCTGCTATCAAGGCCTGGTCATCTGCAAAGAGTAATTCGTTGATCTTACTAAGATCTTCATTCATGGGCTTGGCATTCTTGCATATACTGTCGATGTAGGTGATAAACAGCAGTGGTGATAAGACACACCCCTGTCTTACTCCAGATGTCACTGTGAAAGGATGAGATGTTCCCTGATTTATTCTAACTACACTTCTACAATCCCTGTATAAACTTTTGCACACTTCGATGAGGTGTTCGCTTACTCCATATCTTGCCATTATTTTCCATAGATATTGCCAGCATTGTGTTACCAGTGCCAAACACTGTAGAATGCAGTATTTTTAAAAGCATTGTGTTACCAGTGCCAAACACTGTAGAATGCAGTATTTTTAAAAGCATTGTGTTACCAGTGCCAAATACTGTAGAATGCAGTATTTTTAAAAGCATTGTGTTACCAGTGCCAAACACTGTAGAATGCAGTATTTTTAAAAGCATTGTGTTACCAGTGCCAAACACTGTAGAATGCAGTATTTTTAAAAGCATTGTGTTACCAGTGCCAAACACTGTAGAATGCAGTATTTTTAACAGCATTGTGTTACCAGTGCCAAATACTATAGAATGCAGTATTTTTAACAGCATTGTGTTACCAGTACCGAACACTACTGCAGTATTTTTCACCGTTAACAACAGAAGGAAAAAGATAAACTGAAACAGCAGAAATAAAAGGTCTATGAGGAATCCTAAATGTAACCAGAAGAGACAGGATAAGAAATGATATCAGGAAACAAGTTGGGATGTAATTGCTACTATATTGCATCCAGAGGCAATGGATGAAATGGTTTGGGCATGTGTCAAAACTTTCACCAAAAAGTACATCACACAGAGCTGTGTCACTTGGGTGGAAGCAGCGTTAGAGGTTGACCATGCAGATGATGGATAGATGGAATAACCAAGGCTGTAAATACCAATGTCGCACAAAGTAGCACATACCAAGACTCACACTCGATGCCTCTTCAAAACCTGACACTGAAAGACAGAACAGGACTAGAGAAGAAGAAGAAGAATACGCAGATTCACTTGTCTTTACAATGAAGTCTGAACAAAATATCTATATAACACTCTAGAACAATAGATGCCTTTGTATTGGAAGGTGAGCAGACATCCACTTCATGACCAAGTCACAGTTCATTTCCTTCTGCCCTGTATCTTCTCTTTTAGTAGAAACCCTTGTGGCGTAGTGATTTCTGTCACAGGCATGAGGTAAAGTTAAGTCCAACGTAATGTGTATAAGGAGAGACTCCATACGTCACTCCGGCGCCATTCCTTCACTGTTCTGCTTTTAAGGAACCTCATGCAAGACTCCTGCTGCATGTCCTCATGCACCACTGATAATGTCTCAAATAAGCATTAACAGAGCAGTCAGGGGATCTCCGAGTTGGCTGCTTCCAGAGGTGTAGTGACTGTGTGGCTCTCATCAGCCCGCCCCCAAATGCCTGGGTGAAACAGTTTATCAAAACTCATTTGGAACATGAGTTAAGTCTGCTTACCAAATGCACAACTAAGTGACAACTCTCAGTTAAAAGTTTGTGGAGTAAAGAAAACATTGTGCTGCTGAGACTCAACCCTCGACCAAAAGTTTTACCCACAGCTCAGATGAGTAACATCTCCTGTGGGTGGTTTCTCGCAGCAAGATCCTACATATATACATCTCTGTCAGCCCCCAGTGACGTCGTCACAGCGCTGAGGTACACCAAGACGGCAACTGTACATCAGCTGGCTTAGCTCCAATGTCCGACTAATTAGGGATTTACCTTCCAGTCAGGAGTGCATTTGCCTGAGAGGCAAGAAACCAACAGTCTGCACACAAATAAATCAGGTGTATTAAATGGATGTGCAGGCAAATCTCAAGTTCGGAAATGAGACCCAGATTAACTCTTAGTGAATCTCTATTTAGTTATGCACACAGCATTGCTGATTTGACATTGGAGTTAAACTATTGAAGTTTATTTCTAGTGATATTAACATGTCCTAGTGTTTTAGAAGCCATCACTGTGTAGCGGTTAGATGCTGGCCTATGGATCCAAAAGGTCTGGGTTCAGATCTGAACAGTACTGGACTGTTTTTTTTTTCTTTTCAGAATTGATTGTGCCTCCCAAGTCAAACCAGCCTTAAATGAAACCAGTAAAGTCCTGCTAAGCATCATGATGAATACATCACCCACCAAGTGCCAATTGGTCTAAACAATAAAGATCTAACCCTATATGCCCAGTAGACCTGAAGGCGTGGGAAAATTGTCCTAGTGTTGTAAAAGATATAACATCATAACATCACGGCATATGAAGCGACTGAACGCGCCCTGGCTCGGTTGCCGATCATCTGATAGACTGCGACGCCTAGCGGCACAAGCAGATTTGGACAAAAGACAAAAGAAGTTGTAAAAGATACTACTGCTTGGGATTGTTGTATGGCATGCCTTCTATTGATACAAATGTTGTACATCTACAGGATCTGGCAGACGGTGACAAAAACAGAAAGGTCAGCAGTGTGGGGTTTCTACGCACCATGAAGGATAAGTTTAACAAAGGTATTGATTTCTTTGTAGAGTTTACGATGAACATTTTTTTTTACTATCACAGAAAGAGTCAGAAATTTTGACCTCAGAAACCAGCTATTACCAGACTTAGATACCAGCTAGTACAGTACCAGTCTTACACATCCAGCACAGTACCAATATTAGAAACCATCCAGCACAGTACCAATCTTAGAAATCATCCAGCACAGTACCAATCTTAGAAATCATCCAGCACAGTACCAATATTAGAAACCATTCAACACAGTACCAATCTTAGAAATCATCCAGCACAGTACCAATCTTAGAAATCATCCACAACAGTACCAATCTTAGAAATCATCCAGCACAGTACCAATATTAGAAACCATTCAGCACAGTACCAATCTTAGAAATCATCCAGCACAGTACCAATCTTAGAAATCATCCAGCACAGTACCAATCTTAGAAATCATCCAGCACAGTACCAATCTTAGAAACCTTCCAGCACAATACCAATCTTAGAAATCATCCAGCACAGTACCAATCTTAGAAACCTTCCAGCACAGTACCAATCTTAGAAATCATCCAGCACAGTACCAATCTTAGAAATCATCCAGCACAGTACCAATCTTATAAATCATCCAGTACAGTACCAATCTTAGAAATCGTCCAGCACAGTACCAATCTTAGAAATCATCCAGCACAGTACCAATATTAGAAACCATCCAGCACAGTACCAATATTAGAAACCATCCAGCACAGTACCAGTTTTAGTCACTGTCCAGCACAGTACCAATCTTAGAAACCATCCAGCACAGTACCAGTTTTAGACACTGTCCAGCACAGTACCAATCTTAGAAATCATCCAGCACAGTACCAGTTTTAGACACTGTCCAGCACAGTACCAATATTAGAAACCATCCAGCACAGTACCAATCTTAGAAATCATCCAGCACAGTACCAATCTTAGAAACCATCCAGCACAGTACCAATCATAGAAACCATCCAGCACAGTACCAATCATAGAAACCATCCAGCACAGTACCAATATTAGAAACCATCCAGCACAGTACCAATCTTAGAAACCATCCAGCACAGTACCAATCTTAGAAATCATCCAGCACAGTACCAATATTAGAAACCATCCAGCACAGTACCAGTTTTAGACACTGTCCAGTACAGTACCAATCTTAGAAACCATCCAGCACAGTACTAATCTTAGAAACCATCCAGCACAGTACACAATGTTAGAAATCATCCAGTACAGTACCAAAATTAGAAACCATTTAGTACATTACCAAAATTAGAAACCATCCAGTAGTGTACCGATCTTAGAAATCATCCTGTACAGTACCAGTCTTAGAAATCATACAGCACAGTACACATTCTTAGAAATCCAGCACAGTACCTATGTTAGAAATCCAGCACAGTACCTGTGTTAGAAATCCAGCACAGTACCTATGTTAGAAATCCAGCACAGTACCTATGTTAGAAATCCAGCAAAAAACCAATCTTATAAATCATCCAGGAGGATTGAGAGTGGGAAATGGAGTTATGTTGCAAAGGCAGTGCACAAACAATACTTTGAATGTTGTAACTAAAGTTGTAAAGATAGTTGCACAAACAGTCCATGGGTGTTGTAGCTAGTGTTGCACAGACAGTGTACAAACAGTACTTAAGTGTTGTAACTAATGTTGCAAAGAATTGCACAGACAGTACTTTGAATTTTGTTACTAGAGATCTGCTGACATATAGCTTCAAGTTACAAGATGTTATAAAATATTTGTTTGGCAGGAATCAAAAGGAAGAATGCTAAAACAGAGAAGGACTCAGGTATGTCAATTTACTCCTCACTTAAGTGTCAGGTTAGAAGCTGCAGTTTAGTGGCTAGATGCCCACCTGCTGGCCCCAAGGTCTTGGGTTCGGATGTTTATCGGGTGGGATTTTATTCTCCATCAAAATTTACCTTGGTTCCCATGTTGACCCAACCTACAATGTGTGGCAGGTAATGTCCTGGGATGTAAAGGGGGCCGACATAATTTTTACCACATCACCCTTACAGAGCCAGCTAGTCTTTAAATATATGAGTGTAGCATCATATACTTAATGTGCCAATGGTGTAGAAAGTGTCCTGCTTGCTTACTAAATCTCTAAATAATGCAGACACAAACAGTACAGTTTATTGCCTGGCATATTTTGCTGTATCTTGTCAGATGCATTACTACAGATAACAGACTTAAATCAACATATAATGAAGCACACAAATGAATCCTTTAGCTGAATGCATAAACCACATTTTCGAGTTGCTGTACGTCTATCCACCGGAAATTCAAGATAAGTCACCTGGTAACTTCCAATTGATAACGTGATCTTTTTGTTTACATAACATAGGAGAGTTTAGTTTTATTGATACAACCACTTTTAGCAAACATCTATTCAATAAATGGTTAATAATCACGAAGGCACAGTCCTTATCACCTGCATTTCCGGAGTCGAGCAAATGACGTCCTATTGAAAAATTGGGTTCTCTCTTCTTGGTTGATCTTGGTGCAGGATCTCCACTCATTTGTGAGAAACCATGTAAGGATATGCTCTGCCTCCAATCTGTTTTCAAGATAAGTGCAATTGAATTTGGTGTCGCAGCAGTAGTATAGCAGTGGTGGTAGTGTAGCAGCAAGTTTCTTGCCTGTCATCCCCAGTGGTTTTGGGTTTGAATCTCTCAAAATTGACCTAGGCAATCAGGTTTACTTAGTCTAAAATAGGTAGCAGAGATGTCCTGGAAAGTAAAGGTGGCTGGTATGTTGACCACCAACTGTCGATTAGTCTATAAAGTCTATGAGATCAGCAAATTACGCCCAGTGGGTGCATTGCTGATACATATCTGCTTTCCTTGTTGGTATAGATCTGCAGGAAATGCTTTATTATTATATTTTCTGGGTTTGTGTGTACTATCTTTCAGAAGCCTGTGAAACTGATGGTACTCATGTCAACAAGCCAGCACTTCAAGGAATGACATCTAAAGATGGCCTGACTCAGTTTACAGCAGGTACTCCTGTTTTCTGTCAACCTTTGCTTTTAGGGGAAGTAATGACAAGTCTGGACTGTGAGACAACAGAAGTCGACTGAGGAATCAGCAACACAATGCTTAGGACTTTCCCATAAACCTACTGAGTCCCAGTCTTCAGCAGCCAGCCCAGAGTTCAGATTCTGGTGATGCCAGTGACACTTAGTTGGATTATTTGTCTTCTTGCTTTGCTCTGATTGTTGAATGTGTGATTTTTGAATGTCAGATTGTTGAATGTATGATTGTTGAATGTATGATTGTGGCGCGGTGATTTGTGTCACAGGCGTGAGGGAAAGTTAAGTCCAACATGATGTGTATAAGGAGATACTCCGTATGTCACTCGGGCGCCAGTCCTTCACTGTTCTGGTTGTACGGAACCTCACGCAAGACCCCTGCAGCACGTCCTTGTCATGCGCCACGGATAATGTCTCAAGTGAGCATTAACAGAGCTGTCAGGGGATCTCGGAGTTTGGCGGCCCCCAGAGGTGATGTGTCCTTGTGGCTCTCATCAGCCTGCCCCCAAACGCATGGGTGAAAAAGGTTATCAAAACTCATTAGAAACATGAGTAAAGTGCTAAAAGTACAACTAAAATTACAACCCTTGGTTAAAAGATTGCGGAGTGAAGAGAACATTGTTCTGCTGAGACTCAACCCTTGACCTAGAGATTTACCCGCAGCACAGACGAGTAACATCTCCTGTGGGTGGCATCTCGCAGCAAGATTCTACCCATGTACATCCTCTGTTAACCCTCAGTGTTGTCGTCACCGCGCTGAGGTACACCAAGACAGCTACCATCCATCGGCTGGCTAAGCCTAAATGTCCAACAAAACTAGAACCCACGTCACACGAGTAAGCTCAAAATCTGACCATCACAAATCGTATTGAACGGAAAAAGTGCTGGCACCAAATAGATAACGATATGCCTGTCGCAGGATGTTGAATTTTGTCGGGCTAACGGCTCGTCAAAGATACCTAACGTGCGAAGAAAAAGAATGTACCTATTTGGGTGGTCACAATAGTCCAGAATTTGCAGGCTGCTCCCCGCTGACTTCCGGAGGAAGCAGCCCCTGTCGAGCGGGAGGCCTAATACGGTTGTGAGGTCAAGCATGCATGTGCAGGACGTGATGATTCCTTGGGTGAGCCCAGAACCAGAGCGCCATGTGCCGGCTCTGCAAAAATGGAAGCCTCCTTGGATGGTGGGGAATGCACATGATCTGCCCCTGCCTTCCCTTGAGGGCCAACCGTTCCACAAGGGGCTGCCCCAAAGGGGTACTCCGGGGGCAATACATGCGGAGAAGGAGACAAAGTGGACACTACACAAATCAGGCAACGTCTCGACCCACACAAAACAATGGCCACAGTCATCCTAGAAATAGGCCTGACGTCTTCCCTTGAAGTCGGAGTACAGCTGCCCATGAGGCAGGGAACAACAAAATGGTTGTACACGCAAAACTCAGGTCCAGGTAAAAACCAAAAGTCCAAGCGGATGATTAACCGGGACCTTCCGCCGGAATTCACAGCCGGTGAACGAAGAAGAAGAATAAGAATGTATGATTGTTGGATGTCTGATTTTTGAGTGTCAGATTGTTGAGTGTGAGTCAGAAGTAGAAGTCATAAATATCAGTAGATGATACAAAACACAGTAATGGCTGAGATAACAGGCCAATCAAGAAAGAGAGCAGTGGAAGGAGTAGAAGAGGCACAGTGGAAACACAGTGTGGTCTTTGTGAAAGAATTCTGCATTCCTTTATTGTTAGAAGATGGAGAATCTGAGATACTGCACCTCTTGACCGAAATACTTAGACAATTGTTCAGGTGATCCATATTTTATGTTTGATATTCGCCTCCTCAATAACACAATAGATAGTTTCATCAGCTCCCACTTGTGCCATTGAGCCACTGGTTAGAAACAGTATGTGGTCCCCCACTCGACGAGTGACACTGGACATTGTCATTCCATGTAGATGAACAGTCTTTATTATCATCATCCCGTCTTCTCATCAGGCTCCCTCTTGTTTTCATTATCAAATCTCTATAAGTGTAGAACGTGCATTGGTGATTTTTGAGGCTGCATTCTAACAGGATGTCCAAACCATTTGAACTTCTTTTACTAAATAAATGTCATGCAAGGTGTTCCCACAGTTTTCCAATATTATCATTTTGCACTTAGTATATAATGGTTAAGTTTACGGGTTTGCTCAGACATCTCATCTCACAGGTATTAATTTTTACCTAGGTTAACCTCTGATAATGTCCAGGTTTGGCACTGGCAGCACAGTATTGGTATGAATATCCTGTTTATAATCTGTTTGTGGGTGGTCATCTTCGTGTTTGGATGTCTTCAGTTTTGGTGTTCCAGGCTGGAGGTGACCAAGTCACTCTTTACCGGAAACTCAGTTTAGAATTTAGATGATTTGTAAGACTTTTCCCTGGACATTTGGATTCAGGGGAGATCTTCACAGCACTGTCCGTATAGAATTAGCGTTTTGGATTCCGATGGGATCTCAACAGCACTGTCTGTATGGAGATGGTGCTTTAGATTTGGATCAGAAGGAAAGTTTTAAAACTCTTATAAAAATATTTAGACAATTGTTAGACCAATTTTGACACCAACCAACTCACCAACCAGCCAGCTAACCAACCAAGCAACTTACCAACCAGCCAACCAACATACCATGCATATATCAACATGTGCCTCACATAACCACATATCATAATTCATGATTGAAAAATCATGCATAGAATTTATATTTCATCACAATCCCATTCTGACATCTTTAATTGCAGATGGCACTGATGACATCCTGGCAAAGTACCGTACCCCAAAGAAGCCACTTCAGAAACAAACTAACAGCAACCCCAACAGTGGCATCATCATCAACAACAACAACACCTCCACCATCAACAACAACACTTCCAAGTCGGAGTACACCGAGGTCACAGCTATAGGCAGCAGCCATGCCAACACCTCCGCCAGTGGCGGTCGCAACAGCGACAGTCACCATCTTCTGGAGGATAGTGGGCCCTGCTATTTCGATCAGGACAACCTTGAAGGGTGTGCAGCCTTCCAGGATGCCAAGAGGAAGCTGCGACTGGTTCTGAGTATGGCAGACGTTACTTTTGGACTGAGTCAGGTCAGTTTAATATCATCTTCATATTTCATGCTTCTTCACTTACAGTAGAATTAAATCATGTAAATATCTATAGCTTCTTCTTCTTCTTCTAATTCTTTTTCTTCTTCTCTGATCCTTGCATTAAGAAAACTTATCATGCAGCAGATAGCTAGCTTTGACAAAAGCCGTTGTGCAATCCAAATCTTCTGATGTTCTTCTCTGATCCTTGCATTAAAAAAACTTATCATGCAGCAGATAGCTTTGACAAAAGCCGTTGTGCAATCCAGATCTTCTGGTGTACCATATGGCTTTGCTTTGATTGAGGTTGGTTAGCAATTTGAGGGAGTATGAGGTAACTAATAGGATGGTCATTGCTTTGTTGACCCTCAGTGAATTGAGTGGTCTAGGTCTCCCATTGATGTATGACTGAATGTAAAAAAAAAGTAAAGGACCCTTTTCCAAGCCTTTAGGTGTATTGGGCATATAGGGCTAGACCTATATTTTTATAGACCAATCGGCACAGGAGGGTGATGTGGTCAGCATCACTCCGGCCACCTTTACTTTCCCGGGACTGCACCCGGTACCCACTCAAGGTTGGGTCGACCTGGGAACCAAGGTCATTTTTTAAAAAAGTCAGGCTCCGCCAGGGAGCGAACCCACAACCTTCCGATCCGCGGCGAGCTTCTAGCGGCTGGGCCACGGCGACTCCCATGACTGAATGAGGACAGCAAAACTTGAAGAGCCTAATAAATTGGTAGGTGTGGCACTCAATTCAGATGTGTAGAATATGGAACAACATATTGAAAGTAGTGTGAAAAGTGAAAGACTTCAAATAAGTCAGTTAAAAGTGCAGCTGAGCAATCAGACACAAGTAGAGTTATGAACATTGCAATGAAAGGGTGAGCAGGCCCAACAGATTAAATCATTGGAAAATAAAATTAGCAACTTATCAACATAGCAATGGAACAAATAATACAAACTATATATTGTACAGGTTTGGAAAAAAATAATAGCAGAAGGCATGGTACCAGGAAGGAGGGGCAGGGGCCGACCGACACGAAGATGGGCACAGGATATAGGTGACTCCTTGAATGTGAAAATGCATGAGGCGGGAGAACTGGCAAGAGACAGAGTTTCTTTCAGGCAGACTGTGATGAGAGCGACATTTTGCAAAGGACCTGCTACATGATGATGATAATATATTGAACAAGCTCAATGGAACCAGTGGAACAAATAATACAAACTATATATTCCACAAGCTCCAAGTTTGAAGTGAACTTTCCGTATAATTTTAACCAAACAAGGATAAGGTTAATGGTAGTAACAATGCATTATGAGTCAGAGTACAGTTCAGCCATTCACACAGTAGTTTACCTTCAATGCAGCTCAGGCAGGGTATACAGTGTTTTTTTTATTTTTTATTTTTTCAAACTCCCCAAAATAAGACCCCAGACCCCATGTGTGGAAACCAAAATACCATTCTTAATATTTTTTAGTCAAGTCTGGGACAGGTTCCATTTGATCGTGCCTCATATTTTGTAATACATGGCTGGTCCTGCTTATGAATTATATTATTGGATCGTCCTGCAGATTCACTCTAGCAGTCCTCGAGAAGGAGCATCATCCCGTGAGAATGAGCTGATCAACATCTTGAACACACAGCTTGCTGAAGCCATCAACTTACAGAATAAAGACATGATTGCTCAGCTGTACGAAGCCATTCGCTGCATGAAGATGTTTGATACGGATGGGTGAGCAGGACTTTTTAGACTATGTTAGATTACAGTTTTAGACAATTTTTTTGATTTTGCACTCACTGTTCTTACTCCCATTCCCCCCCCCCCCCCCCCCCCCCACCCGCTATATATTCCCTCTACTCTTTTCTCACCCCCCCCCCCCCCCCCATTCTCTCTTTCGCTCTTCTGCCTCTGTCTTTTTCTTTCTCTAACCCTCCTTTCTCTCATCTCCCTTCTCCCTCTATCATCAATCTGTTGTCTCACTATCTCCCCTGCTCCCTCTTTTTTCTTCCTGTCTCCACTACATTCTCTGTCTCCCTCTCCTATAGTCTTCATCTATTCTCTATCTTTCCTTATTCTCTCCTCTCCTTCAATTCCCTTGCCACCCCTCCCCCCCCCCATCCCTTTTTTCCGTTTACTAAATTTGCTGCCATATGTTGTCTTTTTTCTAGTAGCTGTGTCCAGTACACAAGATATTGTGTTATAGTTGTGGGAGCGAGTGGGGTTTCAGCATCAGGCTGGTGGTTTTTTCCTTGTTATGTTTTCTTTTGAAATTAGTTTTTTCTTCTTTTGATGTATTTTATTTGTTAGCATCCTGGCAGAACCTTATATCTCCCTCGATACCCACAGCGGTAAAAGAAGAAGCACCCTGGCATTTGGCGTTTGAGCTGATAGTGATAATATCTTTACTCTGTCTCTACCCGCTCCCTCTCTCTCTGTCTCTCTGTCACTGCCTACCTCTCTTTCTCTCTCTTTGTCTACCTCCCTCCTTTTCTTGTTCTATCTCTGTCTTTGTTTCTCTCCCTCTGTTTGCCCCTCTATATTGTCTTCTCTGTCTCTCCCTCTTTTTTGTCTACATCTCTCTACTTGCATCTCCCTCCCTGTATTTCCCTTCTCTGTCATTATATCTTTCAGCCTCATCTCTCTTTGACTGTCATCTGTTTTCCTCATTCTGTGTCTCAGTTTTCCTCCTTCCCCCTCTCTTCACCTGTCCATCTCTATCTGCCTGTCCCTCTTTTCCCACTCTATCTCCCTCTGTCTTTCACACTGTCTCTCCCACTTTCCCTTGGCATCTATCTGCCTCTATCTCTCTCTGTATGACTCTCTCTCTCCTTCATGTACCAAGTCTAGAGCAGGAATGGCTTCAGTTTGCTCTCCTCTGCCATCAAGCTACAAATAAGCACTGTGTATGCTCCGTACACCCTTGAACAAAGAAAGGAACTGTCGTGAGTTGACTTACTGGTGGATTGTATGGTCTTTGGGAGGGAACTGTCGTGAGTTGACTTACTGGTGGATTGTGTGGTCTTTGGGAGGAAACTGTCGTGAGTTGACTTACTGGTGGATTGTATGGTCTTTGGGAGGAAACTGTCGTGAGTTGACTTACTGGTGGATTGTATGGTCTTTGGGAGGAAACTGTCGTGAGTTGACTTACTTGTGGATTGATTGTATGGTCTTTGGGAGGGAACTGTCGTGAGTTGACTTACTGGTGGATTGTGTGGTCTTTGGGAGGAAACTGTCATGAGTTGACTTACTGGTGGATTGTATGGTCTTTGGGAGGAAACTGTCGTGAGTTGACTTACTGGTGGATTGTATGGTCTTTGGGAGGAAACTGTCGTGAGTTGACTTACTTGTGGATTGTATGGTCTTTGGGAGGGAACTGTCGTGAGTTGACTTACTGGTGGATTGTGTGGTCTTTGGGAGGAAACTGTCGTGAGTTGACTTACTGGTGGATTGTATGGTCTTTGGGAGGGAACTGTCGTGAGTTGACTTACTGGTGGATTGTATGATCTTTGGGAGGGAACTGTCGTGAGTTGACTTACTGGTGGATTGTATGGTCTTTGGGAGGAAACCTTCGTGAGTTGACTTACTGGTGGATTGTATGGTCTTCAAGAGGAAACTGTCGTGAGTTGACTTACTGATGGATTGTATGGTCTTCAGGAGGTAACTGTTATGAGTTGACTTACTGGTGGATTGTATAGTCTTTGGGAGGAAACTGTCGTGAGTTGACTTACTGGTGGATTGTATGGTCTTTAGGAGGGAACTGTTATGAGTTGACTTACTGGTGGATTGTATGGTCTTCAAGAGGAAACTGTCGTGAGTTGACTTACTGATGGATTGTATGGTCTTCAGGAGGTAACTGTTATGAGTTGACTTACGGTTGGATTGTATGGTCTTCAGGAGGGAACTGTCGTGAGTTGACTTACTGGTGGATTGTATGGTCTTAGAGAGGGAACTGTCATGAGTTGACTTACTGATGGATTGTATGGTCTTCAGGAGGTAACTGTCATGAGTTGACTTACTGGTGGATTGTATGGTCTTTAGGAGGGAACTGTCGTGAGTTGACTTACTGATGGATTGTATGGTCTTCAGGAGGGAACTGTCGTGAGTTGACTTACTGGTGGATTGTATGGTCTTCAGGAGGGAACTGTCGGGAGTTGACTTACTGGTGGATTGTATGGTCTTTGGGAGGGAACTGTCGTGAGTTGACTTACTGGTGGATTGTATGGTCTTTGGGAGGAAACTGTCGTGAGTTGACTTACTGGTGGATTGTATGGTCTTTGGGAGGGAACTGTCATGAGTTGACTTACTGCTAGATTGTATGGTCTTCGGGAAACAACTGAAATGCCTATTAAGGTATCGGTGTGCACAGGTTGTTAATTACAAACCTGAACCTAAGGTCTCTTCTGTTACAGGTGTAGGAAGCTGATCCAGTCCATGAAAGAAGACTACAGTCGGAGAAGTCCCTACATTTCCTACCTGGTCAGGTGTAGGCAGGGGCTTCTGTCCACTAGAAACCAGCTGCAGCGGTTGTTGAACAGGGTCACCAGGTGATGATGGTCTTTGTCAACATTTGTTCATTGTTTTAGCAGTGCAGAGTACACATTTATGCTTGCTTTATAGAAATATTTGTACTTGTACTGAATATAGATTGACATTTGCGTTGTCTAAAGTATTGGCATTTGCTTTGAGCAAATTATTGACATTTTCTCTAAAAAAGAGATCAACGCTTGCTTTCTATAACTATTACTAACCTTTCCTGGATGAGCTAGAAGCAACATGTGACCAGACTATGGACCTAATAATTAAGCTGTTGGGCGTGGGGGAAAGAGACATGGAGCTGGCATCCCATTATATGGCTCATAGTGGATAAAACATACCACTAGAACTCACAGAAGAAGAAGTGTAAAGATTGATATTTGCTTTGTATAATAGTTGACATTTATTTTGTTTGAAAATTGACATTTGTTTGGCCTTCTGTAAAGACTGACATTTGCTTTAAATAAAGATTGTCATTTGCTGTGTATAAATAGTAATATTTGGCATACACCAAGATGTGACATCTTCTTTATTTAAAGATTGATGCTTGATTTGTATAAAATCCACCCCCCTCCCCCGCTTGTCACTAGAAGGGGAAAACTAGGATATGTTAAGACAACAGAAAAATTGAAGGGGAACAGCAGGAGAAGGCAAAAAGGAGATAGTGTGTTGGACATTATTACATTGACACAAATTTGTGTCAGAAATTATTGACAGTACATGCGACAAGGTGGTGGACATGCATAAAAACCAGTGCCATGGGACAAAGGCTATGTGAGAGAGAGAGAGAGAACCCAGTTGCTTGACTTAACGCTTACATCTCTTATTTGACAAGGAGAGTGGGAGACTTTGGGAGCCATGGTAACATAGTGACTGGGCTCTCACTAGGGTTCAAATCCACATCAAGGATTTTCTTTTCAAAATTGGCTGCCATGTTGACTTAGACTAAAATACATATTGTCCTGGGAAGTAAAGGTGGTCACTATAATGTTGACTACATGACCCATGAAGTGCTGACTGGTGTAGACAAATCTAGGTCTGGCAGGATGTGCCCAATGTGCCAAAGGTTTCAAAAAGGCATTTACTACATATTTAAGAGTTTGTGAAGAATACAAACAGCCTGTTTGTTGTTATCATGTGCATGAGGTCTCCAAGCGTAAGTGCAAGATGTGGATGGTGAATGTCTGCCATCACCAGGAGGATTTGCTGTGACTCTCTTTGGGTCACAAATGACACAGGATGTGTGTAGTCCTTCACAAGCCGATGAACTCCATCCCAACCCCTGGAAAGTTAAAGTGGTAAATAAATGCTCGATGAAGTCAGATGTGCCAGCCAAAAGGAGCAAATGTCGTAGCTATGCTGTAAATAGGCAGAATGAAATTAAGTCACTCGGATGAACAAAAAGAAAACTCCATTCCAACCCAGTTATTATTTAGTGTGATATTTGAACGGAAATATTGCCCTGCAATTTTCCATTGGCTGGGAAGGCCCATTTAAGGCAAACCTGAGGTTTTTTGACAGAATTTACCGTCGGTAGCCAGTTTCCTTTGTTGCCTCTTTAACCATGTCGACACGAGAAGGCTAAATCTAGTCACTTCTGGTTGTGATACAGCCCTGTAAATTCTTCTTCTTCGCGTTCACCAGCTGTAAACTCTGGCGGAAGGTTCTGGTTGCTCGTCCACTACTGAACTGCAGTCCTGCTCCAGAACCTGAGTGTTGCATGTGCATCAGTTTTACAGATCTCATCCTCTTGAATACAGACTGTTGGTTCCTTGGCTCTCCGGCAGATGCACTCCGACTTCAAAGGAAGCTCCCCAATTAGTCGACTCTTACGACATGCTTTTGGGGAGGCAGTGGGTCTGTTCTTGTTTTCCCCTACAATGGGGCCCCGGAACCCACACGGGGACCTGTAGATTCTGATGTTTGCCATTTCTGCAGTGACCTGTTCTCAAGAACTGTAGTAAAATGCAATTGGTTCTGTTTGCATCTGTGCAATGATTAGGAGGCTTGGATATGTATTATATAGTAACTAAATATTGCTGTTTTAAAGCTGAGTTGACTTACAATGTTCCACTAAGCCTCAGTTATAGAGGTCACAGGATTATGATCTAAGTCACACTATACATATTTGTTTGAAACCCCGGGGAATGCACTCCATTTTTAAAATGCTTCACCCTGCTCATGTTTATTGATTGCTCGTTTTATGTCTTTATATATTCTGAAATTGTTTTTGTGTGTGTTGAAAATGTAGATAAATAAATTTGTATTCAATTTATTAGTTACCTGTGTATATTGGTTGGTTTAAAAAAAATTTTTTCATATTTTTTTTAAGGTTACTCCTACAAGTTCATGACCCATTTTTTCAGCATTTGCTGGGCAAATGTGTCAAAAAAAAAAAAAGGTAAAAGAGCCTTTTCACGCCTGTGACACATCAACTGTATAGTACTAGACCAAAACTGTTTTTGACCAGTTGAGACTTAGTTGGTGAGGTGGTCAGCATTGTGCCGGCCAACTTGTCTTCCCAGGAAACATTCTGGTACCCATTTTAGGCTGGGTGGACCTGGAAGCCAAGTTTTGAAAATAATCCATGTTTGTGCAGATTTTATGAGATCTTCAGGCTAGCAAGTGCTAGAGCAGCTCTGATTTCTGGTAAAACACGCAGAACTGTTCTCTTAGTGTTCAACTATCTGAATGTATCTGTCTGCAGAGACAAGGAGATCTGCAACAAGCATCTGACCAACCTGTGTGCCAGGAACTTTCTAGAGAAAAGAGAGAAGATCATGTGGAATTTTATCAGCGAGTTTCAGAAGCTATCTGTGTCCGATGAAAAGGTAAGAGTACTGATGAGCTAAGGGGGGTATGATGAATGAGTAGTTTTTGTGGGTTCACTCCAGATGTAGATTAGGGCATTCTTGTGAAAACAGTTGGCTTCTAATGACATCACACTTCCTGCTAATCTCTTAGGTTTGTGGGTTCACTCCAGATGTAGATTAGGGCATTCTTGTGAAAACAGTTGGCTTCTAATGACATCACACTTCCTGCTAATCTCTTAGGTTTGTGGGTTCACTCCAGATGTAGATTAGGGCATTCTTGTGAAAACAGTTGGCTTCTAATGACATCACACTTCCTGCTAATCTCTTAGGTTTGTGGGTTCACTCCAGATGTAGATTAGGGCATTCTTGTGAAAACAGTTGGCTTCTAATGACATCACACTTCCTGCTAATCTCTTAGGTTTGTGGGTTCACTCCAGATGTAGATTAGGGCATTCTTGTGAAAACAGTTGGCTTCTAATGACATCACACTTCCTGCTAATCTCTTAGGTTTGTGGGTTCACTCCAGATGTAGATTAGGGCATTCTTGTGAAAACAGTTGGCTTCTAATGACATCACACTTCCTGCTAATCTCTTAGGTTTGTGGGTTCGCTCCAGATGTAGATTAGGGCGTTCTTGTGAAAACAGTTGGCTTCTAATGACATCACACTTCCTGCTAATCTCTTAGGTTTGTGGGTTCATCACTCCAGATGTAGATTAGGGCATTCTTGTGAAAACAGTTGGCTTCTAATGACATCACACTTCCTGCTAATCTCTTAGGTTTGTGGGTTCACTCCAGATGTAGATTAGGGCATTCTTGTGAAAACAGTTGGCTTGTAATGACATCACACTTCCTGCTAATCTCTTAGGTTTGTGGGTTCGCTCCAGATGTAGATTAGGGCGTTCTTGTGAAAACAGTTGGCTTCTAATGACATCACACTTCCTGCTAATCTCTTAGGTTTGTGGGTTCACTCAGATGTAGATTAGGGCATTCTTGTGAAAACAGTTGGCTTGTAATGACATCACACTTCCTGCTAATCTCTTAGGTTTGTGGGTTCACTCCAGATGTAGATTAGGGCATTCTTGTGAAAACAGTTGGCTTCTAATGACATCACACTTCCTGCTAATCTCTTAGGTTTGTGGGTTCACTCCAGATGTAGATTAGGGCATTCTTGTGAAAACAGTTGGCTTCTAATGACATCACACTTCCTGCTAATCTCTTAGGTTTGTGGGTTCACTCCAGATGTAGATTAGGGCATTCTTGTGAAAACAGTTGGCTTCTAATGACATCACACTTCCTGCTAATCTCTTAGGTTTGTGGGTTCACTCCAGATGTAGATTAGGGCATTCTTGTGAAAACAGTTGGCTTCTAATGACATCACACTTCCTGCTAATCTCTTAGGTTTGTGGGTTCACTCCAGATGTAGATTAGGGCATTCTTGTGAAAACAGTTGGCTTGTAATGACATCACACTTCCTGCTAATCTCTTAGGTTTGTGGGTTCGCTCCAGATGTAGATTAGGGCGTTCTTGTGAAAACAGTTGGCTTCTAATGACATCACACTTCCTGCTAATCTCTTAGGTTTGTGGGTTCGCTCCAGATGTAGATTAGGGCATTCTTGTGAAAACAGTTGGCTTCTAATGACATCACACTTCCTGCTAATCTCTTAGGTTTGTGGGTTCACTCCAGATGTAGATTAGGGCATTCTTGTGAAAACAGTTGGCTTGTAATGACATCACACTTCCTGCTAATCTCTTAGGTTTGTGGGTTCGCTCCAGATGTAGATTAGGGCGTTCTTGTGAAAACAGTTGGCTTCTAATGACATCACACTTCCTGCTAATCTCTTAGGTTTGTGGGTTCACTCCAGATGTAGATTAGGGCATTCTTGTGAAAACAGTTGGCTTGTAATGACATCACACTTCCTGCTAATCTCTTAGGTTTGTGGGTTCACTCCAGATGTAGATTAGGGCATTCTTGTGAAAACAGTTGGCTTCTAATGACATCACACTTCCTGCTAATCTCTTAGGTTTGTGGGTTCACTCCAGATGTAGATTAGGGCATTCTTGTGAAAACAGTTGGCTTCTAATGACATCACACTTCCTGCTAATCTCTTAGGTTTGTGGGTTCACTCCAGATGTAGATTAGGGCATTCTTGTGAAAACAGTTGGCTTCTAATGACATCACACTTCCTGCTAATCTCTTAGGTTTGTGGGTTCACTCCAGATGTAGATTAGGGCATTCTTGTGAAAACAGTTGGCTTCTAATGACATCACACTTCCTGCTAATCTCTTAGGTTTGTGGGTTCACTCCAGATGTAGATTAGGGCATTCTTGTGAAAACAGTTGGCTTGTAATGACATCACACTTCCTGCTAATCTCTTAGGTTTGTGGGTTCGCTCCAGATGTAGATTAGGGCGTTCTTGTGAAAACAGTTGGCTTCTAATGACATCACACTTCCTGCTAATCTCTTAGGTTTGTGGGTTCACTCCAGATGTAGATTAGGGCATTCTTGTGAAAACAGTTGGCTTCTAATGACATCACACTTCCTGCTAATCTCTTAGGTTTGTGGGTTCACTCCAGATGTAGATTAGGGCATTCTTGTGAAAACAGTTGGCTTGTAATGACATCACACTTCCTGCTAATCTCTTAGGTTTGTGGGTTCGCTCCAGATGTAGATTAGGGCGTTCTTGTGAAAACAGTTGGCTTCTAATGACATCACACTTCCTGCTAATCTCTTAGGTTTGTGGGTTCACTCCAGATGTAGATTAGGGCATTCTTGTGAAAACAGTTGGCTTGTAATGACATCACACTTCCTGCTAATCTCTTAGGTTTGTGGGTTCACTCCAGATGTAGATTAGGGCATTCTTGTGAAAACAGTTGGCTTCTAATGACATCACACTTCCTGCTAATCTCTTAGGTTTGTGGGTTCACTCCAGATGTAGATTAGGCATTCTTGTGAAAACAGTTGGCTTCTAATGACATCACACTTCCTGCTAATCTCTTAGGTTTGTGGGTTCACTCCAGATGTAGATTAGGGCATTCTTGTGAAAACAGTTGGCTTCTAATGACATCACACTTCCTGCTAATCTCTTAGGTTTGTGGGTTCACTCCAGATGTAGATTAGGGCATTCTTGTGAAAACAGTTGGCTTCTAATGACATCACACTTCCTGCTAATCTCTTAGGTTTGTGGGTTCACTCCAGATGTAGATTAGGGCATTCTTGTGAAAACAGTTGGCTTCTAATGACATCACACTTCCTGCTAATCTCTTAGGTTTGTGGGTTCACTCCAGATGTAGATTAGGGCATTCTTGTGAAAACAGTTGGCTTGTAATGACATCACACTTCCTGCTAATCTCTTAGGTATGTGGGTTCACTCCAGATGAAGATTAGGGCGTTCTTGTGAAAACAGTTGGCTTCTAATGACATCACACTTCCTGCTAATCTCTTAGGTTTGTGAGATCAGAATATGTTATGGCATGTGTATGTTGTGAGTCTTTCCAGATGGGGGGAGGGGGGAGGGGGTGCAGCGGGCAAGTTGCCCACATTATAAAGCGCATCAGCAGATGAAAAATCTGGGGAGACTGAGAGTTGTGGCCCTAGCCTGATTTTAAAGTAAATTAAGGCCCCTTTTCAGGCTGTTAGGCACATGAGGTAATTGGGGCTAGCCTCATATTTTTATCTATATCCTCTGTTTGTTGCTGTTGACACATAGGGCATTCCCAAGTGCGTGTACAGGATTGAGGGTCGGGGTGAGTTTGCTTCAGCAAGCACTGCCATTGCTGCACGTCTGCTGCTTTTCTGCCCATGGTATGTCAGTTGACAACCCTTCATTTCCCGTTCTACGGTCCTTCTCCAGGTTTCCTTAGGTTGTCCACGTCTCCTTTTCCCATCTGCTGTTCTGCTGTTCCCCATGTCCAAGCCATCTCCATCGTCTTTGATAACATTTGCCAGTGATGTACATTCCGTTTTCCTCCTCATTTCTTCATTTGTGATCTTGTTTGGCCAAAATATTCATAGAATTCTTAACATATTTTTATAGGCCAGTTTTGTGTTTTTTTTAAAAAAAAATACATTTTTAAAGATGAGTGTGAGGTCAGCATTGTGTCTGGCACTTTTAGTTCCAATTTCCTGGTACCCATTTGAACCCTTTCACCCCATAATTATCTTTAAAAAAAAATATATGACATTTCCCCTGATTTTGTTAAAAAAAACACATCCTTATAATTCTCTAAAACCCCACCGAGAGAAACTAGAGGAAGTGAAGAAGAACTGGGGAGTCTTGGTCAGTGTTTATGAAAATGCACGGATGAAACCCAAGATGGCTGAGCAGACGGGCATGCCTGATGGCCACAGTTATTTCACGACAGCGGGTCACAAAAGTGACATATATTTTTTAAACCCACTGTGGTATCCCAGGAAATGCAAAAGTAGATGAGCTTGTATAGGCTGTAGAGAATCTTGGGCTCGGCTCAGGCAGTCCCATCCGACTCACAGCTCAAGAGGGGCGCAGGAAGACTTTAAAGATGAATTAGAGAGAAGGAAATGACAGTTACAGAATACTGTTCTTTAACCACTTAATGAGAAGAGAGACATCAGAGAACATCGTGACAACTGAAAAGATCAGTGGAAAAAGGGGTAGAGGTAGACCAAGAGAGAAGATGCTGGATGGGCTGAAACGATTTCATGGAGGGATATCATCAAGAGAGCTGTTCCAAGCAACCAGGGATGGTGATCTGTGGAGATTCATGAGCAACTACATCAGTTGGCCGGGCAAATAATGATGATGAGAGTAAATGCATAGCAAACATTGATCACTGAAACTGAGGAATGTATGTTATCTAAGCGAACTGTTTGCTGTACAATTCTGCTGACTGCTTGTCTATTTCACACTGGTCATTTTACATTCACATAATCGTTGAAGACAGAATTCCACTGAATATTAATTGGTCTGTACATCTTGCATGTCCCCTGTTCTTGACTTTATGCTGTATTTGTTTGGTTAGACTTGTGTTTATGATTCTGTTCTTAGAGTACCTAGATAAATTGTTTGTATTGTTCTTCTGGTTTCAGCTTTTAAGTTTATACTTGTTAATAATTTATTTATTCATCATCACCCTGTTGTGTCATTTATATGTATATTGATTGCAGTCTATTTTTCTGTTAATTTTTATCCTGCAAAATCTTTTGTCATGGATGTTTGGCCTCTTTCAGTGTTTGTCTTTGTTTTTCTTAGCATTCACATTTTTTCACATCTGTTTTCCATTTTAGTGCCTGTTTGGCAAATCTGTCTGCTTATTTTCAGGATGGACACAGGGTATTGCTGTCTTCATTGTCTAATAACCATTTGTGTCCGCATTCACCTCCAGCAGGGATATTCAACTAAGTTTGTTTACTCAAGGGCCACAGTTTTGAAAATGGAGATCATTACGGGCCAATGACCCGAGCCTCAGTGTAAAAAGGTAGTCAGTACGGTCCAACTGGCAATAATCCGCAGGCCACGTCCTAGACTTCGCTGGCCAGATTTAGCCAGCAGGCTGCCAATTGAATAGTCCTGATCTACACATTGCTCTTATTTCTTTGACTTTCTTGAATTCAAATTTAATATTGTTAATTGAATATTTAAATATTAGTGTGTCAGCTTTGTAAAGTGGTTTTTTTTTTTCTCTCCCCTCCCTTTATAGACTGACTTGATGGAAAGATTTCTCCAAAACCTGTACCAAGAAATGAGTACTGATGCACTTTGGAAAGGTAGTAGTAGCTGCACTCATTAGAAAAATAGGTGGTATTTAATATGACTATTTCTTGGACATTGCAGATAACTGCTTGCTCATTTCACGCTGGTCATTTCTGATGCTGTGGGGGCGGGCATGTCTCCAAGGCTAAAGTTGTTTAGTATTTGCCTGCTCTTCTGTAGGTCATAGGTTGATTTCACAAACTGCTTTGTTCAGTACATAGGTGAAATTTGTATGGAGATAACAAGATCTTTGCTGGGGCTATGAAGTTTAAGCTTTGTGGGATGATTTGGGCAGGAAACCTGTTGCTATGAAATTGGTCTTTTCAACTTTAATCCTTTAAATTGTAATTTATGATTGTGATAATAAGTCAGTAAAGGGATACATTAATACACAGAGAGCATGTATGTTGGGAATAATAATTTATTAGCTTGACAGTTTTTTTTAATGGTGGTGTTTGGGATTTGCACATATTAGGCTGCAGGTGAGTTTGTTACCATTCAGTATCCCAGTATCATCATCACCAGGTGCCTTGCAGACTGCCGTGGGCAATCATGCCTCGCCACAATCTGTGATCTCCTGCAGCAGGTATCAGTTCGTGTGCCGACACACCTCCATGCCATGCAACAAGACTGTCAAGAATCTTCTCTCGCTGTCTTCCTCTATCTCTCCTTCCACATATCTTTCCAGTGGTCACAACATGTTCCATTTTTTCCTCTTCTTATAACATGGGCGAAAAATTATGTCTCCTTCTGATGTCTGTGATAAGTTTTCTTCGGCCTCCCGCCTTTTCCCAAACCTCTTGGTTGCTCTTTTTGGCTGTCCATGGTATTTTAAGCAAGTATAACTGTTGTATAGTTGACTGGGGTTTCTAGGATTTGCTTCTGTTGGATTTTAATCCAAATAGTGGCTCTTTGAGTCACTGGGGGTTGATGTTTAAGGCTGCATTTCAAGAGGGAGAAAGGAATATATAATATTTTGCAGTCACATTTTTATTCCGTTGTCATTTATTATGTGTTTGTGTAATATCAGTATCAATTTGTGTAATATTGGATTTACTGTAGCAGCTGTTTGACGAAATGAAAATTTGATAGATAATCGTTCCATATAAATGGACAACAGCATCTGTTCACAATACGAAGGTTTATGGACATTAGTATCTGTTATCAGCATGAACATTTGATGTATATTAGCAACTGTTTGGCCATATGTACATTTAATATCACAGTAAAAGCTGTTCTCTAAATAAACATTTGATTTAGAAGTGCATCAATGTGTTCACACTATGAATATTTGATAGACAGTCGCATATATAAACAGTAGCATATATAGACAGTAGCATATATAGACAGTAGCATATATAGACAGTAGCATATATAGACAGTAGCATATATAGACAGTAGCATATATAGACAGTCGCATATATAGACAGTCGCATATATAGACAGTAGCATATATAGACAGTAGCATATATAGACAGTAGCATATATAGACAGTAGCATATATAGACAGTCGCATATATAGACAGGTGCATATATAGACAGTAGCATATATAGACAGTCGCATATATAGACAGTAGCATATATAGACAGTAGCAAATATAGACAGTAGCAAATATAGACAGTAGCAAATATAGACAGTAGCATATATAGACAGTAGCATATATAGACAGTAGCATATATAGACAGTAGCATATATAGACAGTAGCATATATAGACAGTAGCATATATAGACAGTAGCAACTGTTGAACAGAATGGACATTTTGTGTACCGTCAGGTTAAGAGATCACATGGAGAGGATACAGTTAAACATACAATTATGAGACTGTCAGCTTTCTTAGTGCAGAGACATAGCCTTTTACAATACAGACAAAATCAGTATGGTGGCAGGAGAATTAATGTATTCATAGTTAGTTAATCGACAGACTATCTCAGGATAATCTGTTGATTAACTAACTTTGGATTTACTCATTCTCTTGCCACCTTACTGATTTGCACATCGGACAAGTCTATAAGCACTTGGATCTCATCTTCAGTATATCTCCCAGCTTGTGGCGACTGAAAACACCAGTTCTGTGTTGCTTTATTACTCTTCTTTGGCTACCTGTATGTTTAGTGACACTTCTTTTGACTTAAAGTTCTTGTAGTCTTTTGAGTGTTGCCAAATCAAGTTGTCTCTTGAATCATCTTCTCGTCCTGCCTTCTTGAGAGCAATGACAAAGTCGGACCGGTCCATTGCTTTTCTTAAACTTACTGTGGCCCTACCAGCAAGGCAATCCGCTCGTTCATTCCCTCTTACCCTTTGATATAACTGGATTAACAGTTGGTTCTATTGTTCTAGTACTAGTATATGTTCCCCTCTGGAGAGGCCATATTCACAGCTGAAGTTGTTGTTCCTTGCAGCATTTAGCGCCTGTTGTCTAACCTCCTGTTCTGTGACTACTGATTAGTGTCTGCTTGTCTTGAGTGTGTTTGTTGTGCTGTCCCCAGCTGCCAACAGTACACAGATCGAAGATGGGCAACAAGCTATTGAACGCTTCCTGATGAGCCGTATATACACACATGCCATGTTTCCCAATGGAGACGGAGACATTATGAGGGATCAGTAAGTTGATCAACTGAATGTTTATTTTGATTGACTCATAAAGGATTTGGGTCTCTCTCTGTCTTTGTCGCTGATTGTCTCTGTGCTCCTTCTACGATCCCTCTGCCTCTGTCCTTTACCCACATCACTCTTCCTCAAATCTCTCTTTCCCCTAATGTCCAACAGATGGCCTGCTATTGAAGTATTTTTTTTTTTCAATTTGTTGGTTTTATCACATTTATATAGAAATAAATATGAGTGCAATTCTCTTAAAAAAATAGTTAGTCCATTTTGGGATCTGTTCTGCTGCCCAGTTTTCCTGATCTCCATTCTGTCTATGCAGCTGCCAATCAGCCTTCATAATGTCTCTTTCTCCCCAACTTGGGTCTTTGTAGCTTCTTAACTGGGTGTATGATTACTTGCTCTTGAAAAGGAAACAAAATTTCATCAAGATCTACATTTCCATTGATGATCCCAAACCAAGAATCTCTACATAACCCATGTCATCCGATTCATTCTCATTCCAGCCCTCCTTACCTGGGAGACCATGTACAATAGGCCTCTTTGCTCTTTTCTGCTTTCCTTATGGGCCTTGTGAACACACAAGAGCTGATCTTAGTCTGGGTCCTAGTCAAGGTGTCAACTTCACTGCAGTTGGGTTTCCCCAGACTTGCTCTGTTCCAGTGCAGATCAAATGAAATGTCCCTCACTGCCCCATTTGAAAACCTGGTGAACTGACAGTTAGTCCCAGCACAATCCAGAAATGTGGGCACACAGTAAGTGTATATGGCAGTTGCTAGAGGTGCCAAAGCCATCAGTCATCACCAGAAATGCAGTTTGTTGTGGATAGTAGTAGTCGGGCACGATAAGTTGGCAGTTCACACATAGAATTATTATTTGATGTTTTTTTTTTGATGGACCAACATCATGGCACACTGGTGTAACCCATAAGTGCTTAGTTATACTTCTAACTCAAGCCAGAGTCTGAAGAATCTCAGCTCAGTGCACAAACTCCATATCACCGGCAAGAATCCTGAAATACTTTGAGTAGATTTTTAACTCCAAATTTTGCCCCGCAGAGCCGTTAGGCTACTCTTTTCGATTTCCAACCGCCAAAGGATTTTTTACCTGCTCAAAAACACACATCGGCGTCAGATCTCACTACCCAGAGACCAGGGGAAATTATTAGAAGTCCACGTAAATGAATTCCAGCATGAACCCGGGACCTCCAGCACTTGGGGTGGACACCATACCTCGAGACCACTCAGCTCCCAGAATCATAATTTTTACCTAAGGTATTTCACCAACCCACGCGTAAACCGGCTATCGGCCATATTGAATACCACAACACAACTGCTGCACAAATTATAGTTATTCCATAGGAAAAACAGCCCACAGGGAGCTGATCATTTAGTGGTAAATTTAGCAGGATCCATTAACCAATCTTCTACTAGATTATTATGGGCTGCAGGTTTTGGCCGGCACACCAAACTCGGAGGAAAGGCAAGACGGACATACAACTAGACCGCGACTGACACCATTAGTATTGGAACTCTGAGCTGGCTGCTGAGGATAGGGACGGAGCGCATATGGGAATGCCCTGAGTGCTGTGATGTCGATTCTGGACTCAACTCAACTGATTATTTGGGGTGGGAGGGGTTCATATAATAGGACTTTTCTGAATGCCGAGATATGAACAGTGATTTATAACATGTCATTCTAATGTGTTACCACATCCGCAATATCATTTTTTGCAGACTTCTTCAGGAGCATCTTCGTAAGTTGTCCAAAATTATCTCCCCGTCGCACAAAGATTTACGGATACCTTCCATGTACCACTTGGAATGTCCCTGGCCGGCAGCCCAGAAGGAAATTTTCATGATCAATGCATACCGGGTAGGTAGTCGATTGTGTGTGTACATTTTTGTGTGAATGCTGTGGTCTTCAAGATGGCATTGATTTAATGACTTAGTCTGTTTAGTCCTTGAGGTTTTTGCAATTTCTCAGTGGAACAAACAGTAATGGTGCACTATTATATTGAAATGGTTTCTTACACATTTCTTTCCCACACATGTGACATTTTAACAACACATTTATGTGCACATTCAAAACTAATTGTGCACCTTTTTTATAACTCAGCTAAGTGCTATAACTGCACTGACTCATAAAGTAATTTGTATTGTGCTGTTGACGAAGTATTGGCATGAGTAAAAGGGTACTTCTGATGAAGCCTTGGTAATTAGTACTTTTAAAAAAGGTAATTAGTACTTTTAACAAAGCCATGAGGGGTGAAAATGGTACTTTTGACCAACTCTTTTAGAGAGTAAAGTCACATTTATGACTAACTCAGGGGTACAAAATAGTATTCTTGAATGTCCTCGGGTGGACAAAGTGGTGTTTTTTACCAAGAGATTACAATAATATATCTGACCAAGTCTTCGATGATTAAAACATTATCCTTCATCCATGAGTGATTTAAATGTTACTTTTTTTTAAACCAGGCTTTTTCCTCTTTAAAAAAAGTGCTGCACTCAGAGTGTCTAAAAAAAGGTGCCAGTACCCACCATAAAGTGCTTACCATAGAAGCGCTGGGGAAAAAAAACATTGCCTTGAAAAAAGTGCCGGTACCGCATACTGCCAGAAAAAAGCCTGGCTTTTGACCAACTCATAAAACTAGATAAATGTTTGATAAATAGTATTCAGAAGATTTTATAGATATTAAATTAAATTATAATAGATTTCTTTGCTTTTATTTATGTTTCTTGTTCAGGCAAAATAGTAGGGAGAAGACATAATAGCATATTTCAGTGATTAAAAATAGCTTACTCTGTCAGAAAGTTAGGTCTTAGAAAGGGTTCCTGACTCCTGGTTTGAGATACACATAGGGAATGCGTGAAGAAGAAAAAGGTATAGAATCTGAGTTGATATGGAGATGACATGATCAAATTGCTTTAGATTTCATGAATGGGGAACACTTGAGACTCTCTGACATCTGTGTCAGCTTTATAAATTACTGAAGAATTTAATGTTTTATTTATGTTCTGCAAGCAACTTCATAAATAATTGTTTAGTTTAGTTAAGAACTGACATCACAGCACATGGGGAATTCCCATAAACACCTGATTCCCATTTTTCGGCAGCTAGCACTGAAACAGTTGTTTAGTAACATATTTAAGATAAGTTAGAAAACATGTAACTTAGAAGTCAACCCTCTTTCTACAGGCATGACTAATTAATAGTTGATAAATAAATGATCTTTCCCCAGACACCAAAGGACAAGATCCGCTGTGTCCTTCGTTGTTCACAGACCATCATGAACCTTCTCAGTATGGCCAACGAGAAGTCAGTGCCTGCCGCCGATGACTTCATGCCTGTACTCATCTATGTTCTCATCAAAGCCAACCCCTTTGGGTTGCTGTCAACCATTCAGTATGTGAACAGTTTCTATGAAAAGCGACTTCACGGAGAGGAGCAGTACTGGTGGCTGCAACTGACCTCTGCTGTTGAGTTTATTAAGACCATGGAGTACTCCTCGTAGTCACAGATACATTTGGTTCTTTTAGGTAGAAAATGTTCTTTGCACTGAGTTTCTTTCATATTTCTTATCTCTAGTAATTATTATGTATTTATTTTTTGTTGACACTTTAAGTGGCGAAGAGGGTTCGATATGGGTCTGCCAAATCTGAAGATAATTGTGTGCTGTTGTTTAGCATTGTTTTTGTTTTGTTTTACCTGTGAAAGGTGAAGCATGAACGCTAGCCTGCCACTGTGGGATGGTAGCGTTGGTATACTGCCTTGAAACCACGGTCCCCAACCAAATACTCCCAGTGGACACCGGCAGTGGTGTTCTCTAATGCCATAATGGTGTTTTAGACATGACCACATATGTAACATATTAACCACACATTTGTATGTGCGCATTTACATTAATTTAATATTTCATTTTGCACAGCCAAATGAGTTGTATAGAGCCCATCTGGTTGTACAGTGGAAGGATTGTTGTACAGAGGAAGGATTGTTGTACAGTGGAATGTTAGTTATACAGTGGTTGTACAGAGCCAGACTGGTTGTACAGAGCCTGTAAAAAAAAGCTGGTTGGTACTACAGAGCCAGGCTAGGTTTTACAGAACCAGGCTGGTTTTACAGAGCCAGGCTAGGTTTTACAGAGCCAGGCTAGACTTTACAGGCCAGGCTGGTTATAAGATTGGAGGCTGGTTGTACAGAGCCAGGCTAGGTTTACAGAGCCAGGCTGGTTATAAGATTGGAGGCTGGTTGTATAGAGCCAGGCTAGGTTTACAGAGCCAGGCTGGTTATAAGATTGAAGGCTGGTTGTAAAGAGCCAGGGTAGTTCACGTCACAGTAGCTCTATAGTAATTAAATATCTTTCTCGCTGTTTAAAACCTTGTTCATCTCATTTAGAATGATGTCATTTTTTAAAATGTTCCTTAATGTCAAGCATCACATTTTAATGAATATAGATTTTCTCTTTAGGCTTTTCAAGTAGCCGTATTTTTTTTGCACTAAATTCAGTCACTTTCCACTAGGCTTCTAATGTCTCCCAGATTCTTTTCATAGGAATATATTTTTTTGGAACAAAAATAATGTATACTGTGGACTTCATTCTTTTAATTTTACAGTGTATGTGATTGGGCACCTGGGGGATTTTTTTAATTTATATTTAATTATTCAAGAAATATCTGATATAATTTTGCTGCAAGTACAGGTTTATGGTATTTTACAGATTAACAGTGTCTTAACCCTTTCAGTTTCAGGCAGTATGTGACTTATGATGTCCGAAACATTTGTTACATAAAGCCATGTGTGTCTGATTCTGAATATGTTCAAGGGATAACACTGAAGGACAAGATGTGTCTGAGTGAATGTGTTCAAGGGATAACACTGAAGGACAAGATGTGTCTGAGTGAATGTGTTCAAGGGATAACTCTGAAGGACTAGATGTGTCTGAGTGAATGTGTTCAAGGGATAACACTGAAGGACAAGATGTGTCTGAGTGAATGTGTTCAAGGGATAACACTGAAGGACAAGATGTGTCTGAGTGAATGTGTTCAAGGGATAACTCTGAAGGACAGGATGTGTCTGAGTGAATGTGTTCAAGGGATAACACTGAAGGACAAGATGTGTCTGAGTGAATGTGTTCAAGGGATAACACTGAAGGACAAGATGTGTCTGAGTGAATGTGTTCAAGGGATAACTCTGAAGGACAGGATGTGTCTGAGTGAATGTGTTCAAGGGATAACTCTGAAGGACAAGATGTGTCTGAGTGAATGTGTTCAAGGGATAACACAGAAGGACAAGATGTGTCTGAGTGAATGTGTTCAAGGGATAACTCTGAAGGACAAGATGTGTCTGAGTGAATGTGTTCAAGGGATAACTCTGAAGGACAAGATGTGTCTGAGTGAATGTGTTCAAGGGATAACACAGAAGGACAAGATGTGTTCTAGTAAATATTGGGATAGAATCAGTTATTGTGCCAGAACGATGAGGAATAAGTTCAGGAAATTAAAGAGTAACTGATAGCTGCACAGTACAATGTGAGTGGCTTGGTAATCATGAAAAGCGTAACTGATAAATGCAAGTACAAAGTGAGTGGCTTGGTAATCAAAGAAAGAGTAAGCCATAAATGCAAGTACAAAGTGAGTGGCTTGGTAATCAAAGAAAGAGTAAGCCATAAATGCAAGTACAAAGTGAGTGGCTTGGTAATCAAAGAAAGAGTAAGCCATAAATGCAAGTACAAAGTGATTGGCTTGGTAATCAAAGAAAGAGTAAGCAATAAATGCATGGTACAAAGTAAGTGGCTTGGTAATCAAAGAAAGAGTAAGCAATAAATGCAAGTACAAAATGAGTGGCTTGGTAATCAAAGAAAGAGTAAGCAATAAATGCACGGTACAAAGTAAGTGGCTTGGTACTGAATGTGTGAATGCCCTGATATCTTGTTTATTATATATAAAATGCTTGTGTATGTATACAGATAATATATAAGTGTATTAATAACTTGTCATGGCTGTGGCTGTTAGGCTGTTGTTGGAATACATTCATTGGCAAAACGTTAAGGCTGTTATTTTAGGTTGTATTGGAATAAATTAATCATGGGTCAGTTTTTATGAGTCTGTTGGAATACATTACTTGCTGGCCAACATTATGAGAGTATGTATTGAATATGTTGGCAGGTATTGTGGGATCTGTGTTGAAATACATTACTTTCTATCCAATAATATAAGGGTCTGTTGGAATATGTTAGCCATTGTTTTGGAATATGTTACTTGCTGGCCAGTATTATAAGCGTTTGTGTGCTGGCCAGTATTATAAGCGTTTGTGTGCTGGCCAGTATTATAAGCGTTTGTGTGCTGGCCAGTATTATAAGTGTTTGTGTGCTGGCCAGTATTATAAGTGTTTGTGTGCTGGCCAGTATTATAAGCGTTTGTGTGCTGGCCAGTATTATAAGCGTTTGTGTGCTGGCCAATACTATGAGCATTTGTTTTGGAATATGTTTTTTTTTTTTTTTGCTACAAGAATCAGTAGGAATATGTCGACCAGTATCATAATTATGTTGGAAAATGTTACTTTCTAGCCAAATACTATGAGAGTTTGTGTTAGAATATGTTTCTTGCTGGCCAATATTATGAGTCCACTGGAATATTTTGACCAGTGTTATGATTGTGTTGGAATATGTTACCTACTGGCCAATAGTACAAGAGTCTGTGTTGGAATATGTCACTTACTGGCCAATAGTACGAGAGTCTGTGTTGGAAAATGTTGCCTACTGGCCAATAGTACAAGAGTCTGTGTTGGAATATGTCACTTACTGGTCAATAGTACGAGAGTCTGTATTGGAATATGTTACTTACTGGCCAATAGTACGAGAGTCTGTGTTGGAATATGTCACTTACTGGCCAATAGTACGAGAGTCTGTGTTGGAATATGTCACTTACTGGCCAATAGTACGAGAGTCTGTGTTGGAATATGTCATGTACTGGCCAATAGTACAAGAGTCTGTGTTGGAATATGTCACTTACTGGTCAATAGTACGAGAGTCTGTATTGGAATATGTTACTTACTGGCCAATAGTACGAGAGTCTGTGTTGGAATATGTCACTTACTGGTCAATAGTACGAGAGTCTGTGTTGGAATATGTCACTTACTGGCCAATAGTACGAGAGTCTGTGTTGGAATATGTCATGTACTGGCCAATAGTACAAGAGTCTGTGTTGGAATATGTCATGTACTGGCCAATAGTACGAGAGTCTGTGTTGGAATATGTCATGTACTGGCCAATAGTACGAGAGTCTGTGTTGGAATATGTTACCTACTGGCCAATAGTATGAGTGTCTGTTGGAAAATTTCACTTACTGCCCAATTTTACATGAAGGGTTGGAATACATATCTCTGTATGTACATGCTTGCATAATTGATTCTCATGTACTTAAGTTTATGTTTGTGAAAAAAAATGGCACAAGATAAACCAGTTTGTTTAGACACCAGCATTATTAGTACAAGAGGCATTCAAAATATAATGCCTGCTAATTTGTATCTATGTAAATACTGTCTTGGTGTGCATTTTGTAACTTTAGCAGTATTCCCTAATCATTCTTCTACAATTTATAGCATAACCAACCTGTTTCAGTAAAAGGTAGCACCACTGTAACAGTTTGGCTTCCCAAAATGTTGGTTAAACAATCAATCCATGAACGTTTGAAATATGCTTATGGATATTCAACAGTGGATGTTAGCACTGACTGTTGTGACAGAGCTAAGTAGGTCAATTCTCGGCAGCTGACAATGCTGAATACGGGGGGGGGGGGGGGGGGGCTGGGCCTGCATGATTTCGAAGCCTGGGGTCTGCCTCGAGTGCTGGAGGTCCCGGTGAAGGCTGGGATTTTTTCATGTGGACTTCTGATAATTTCTCCTGGTCTCTAGGTAGTAAGATCGGACGCCCGTGTGTATTGTTGCACATGTAAAAAAGAAAATCCCTTGGCGGTTGGAAATTAAAAGAGTAGCCTAAGTATTTCAGGATCCTCGATGGTGCTATGAAATTTGTGCTGGGATTCTTTGGACTAGAAGTAGAACGGAGCACTTTTGGGTTACTATCCTTGTGCCATGATGTTGATCCGTGGTTCAAACCAATCAAACCGAATGCTGAACACTTTACTCAGTGTTACCTAATGTCAGGATGAATGATATCAACTCGAAAAATGTTGTGGAGAAACTGGGGGGAGGGGGAGGTAAATGGAAGACACGTAAACAATGCGTCAGCCATTGATGATTGACCTACTTCAGCTTCGTTAAAATGATTACCCAGCATCGGACAGTACTAACATCCACTTTTGAATATCCTTAAACATTCTTCAAACGTTTATGGATGTGAATTGGGATCTCACTGTCAGCATTAAGGAATTGTGTTACGTCACGTTGTTTTTAACTAAACAAATTTTGTAAGTCATTTTAAAACTTTTTAAACCATTGCAGTGGTGCCACCTGTTACAGAAACATGTGTTGCAGTGGTGCCACCTGTTACAGAAA